TGAACATGGCGCGCGCATCGTTTCATTTCACACGTATCGGACGTTAAACAACGATTAATCAAACAGGAAACATGTAATAAAACGAGCTCTCTCCGCACTCCCAATGTTGGTGTATTCTTATTTGTTCACACTCGGCTCGCATCATTTGTTTTAGTGTTTATTTTCGTTTACCACAAACGATTGATGCGATTTTATTGCCTAGAAACGATTAAAACCACCGGGAGACGAGAATTTTATCTTTTAGTTAACGAGAAATTAAAGGATTTTGGTTTTATGTGTGTGTATCAATAATCGGGTGTGGAATTTCGTGATTTTGAGTGTTTGTATTCGTTTCACGCCTAAACTACTTAAGTCATTTTTATGATTTTTGGTAGAAATATATTTTTGGGTTTGGAAAAGAATATACGATAGTTTTTGTGGTGAAAAATTGGTTTAAAGGGTGTAAAATAAGGGATGAAAGTTTTTTATGCTTTATAAATCATAAAAACTCAACAGATGTATTTAATTATATTGCCTACTGCAATAACCTAAAAAATCACAACATTAATTTCTAAATAAAAAGATAATGTAATAATTACCATAAGTAAATAATCACTTGTGCTTACTTATGACGCGACATGATTAATTGCTTTCAATTTTCCGCCGTACGCATTTAATTAATCGAATGCGTGAGATTCTAATCCATGGTGTTAATTTGTAGTTCCGTTTTTCTGCGCGCAGATAACTATGTATTCCGTGCATGCAAACATGGAAAAAACAAAGTGAAACGTACAAAACTCGCACTCGTAATGTTTAATATAATTGTAAACGCGTAACTAAGTACTTAAGCCAAGTAAACGTAGTCAAGTAATGCTGCTGCGAGACGAAACTGTGAGGAGAGTTCGATAACTGTAATTTTATATTGCGCGCGCATTAACTCAAATACTTGCTTATTACTTATTGCTCAACGCGGAATAATCACTGCAAGCGTTCGATTATAATCAAATTAATAAATTGTTACATTAAATTTATTCATTGGTTGAGTAAATAAATATATAGTTTGGATGGCCGAAAGTGTTTTCATAACTCATGCGTAACGTGTAACATTGGTTGCCTATGTAACATACTTTGACATTTTTATGTTGATTTAATGGTTGCATATAAAGCATATAGGTGCACAATGTGCTATATTGGTGGCCTATCTTATTCTATCTATGACAATATAAAAGATTTAATAGAAGTATTGGTTGCCTACAGTGCGAATTTTACGAACTTAACTCTGAACAAGCACAAAATACAAATGATTAAATTAAAATTAAAATTTATTCGTTGCTTGTATAAATAAATAACTGATCAAGTTAGATCAGATGGCCGAAGGTGTTTTACTGACTGGCGAGCTTCCTGAACTCTGACTTAAGTCAATTCCCAGCTCCAGATGTTCGATCGCCGGATCGAAATTACAAGAACAGGTTGATGCCTCCAGGATGAATATAATTCCACTTACGAACTTAATTAAGAACAGTACGTTAAGCAAGAATGCATAAAAAATTAGGAGTTTGAAACTTAAAAAAAAATCGATTTGCGGTGTCACTTGATGGTTGATGGAAGTTCCTAAACATTCGCTGCGGAGATAATACCGCCGTAACAGACATACACTCACACACGTGAACCTCATGCGCGCGCGATACGAAGAAATGGCAGTCGAAGAAGAAGTCGAGCCACGGCATTGTCGGCTGTCGGCGCAGACCACCCAAGTCGTTTCACGACGCAACGACGATATGAATGAATGCGCCGCGGACGGGCGCGCGCGCCTTCCTCGCCTCCTTTTCTTCTTCTTGTTCTTGTCCGTCTTATCCGTCGCGATATTGCTGCGTTTGCCACAACCGCAACAGTTTTGCCAGCATTCCGCGATTGCATCCGGGAATAACGAATACATACAATGACAGCACATACGAGTAACGCACAGTCAAATTCCAGATGAAGAGATGAAGAGATGAGAGGAATGAATGCATGAGTTGATGAATTGTTTGTTCAGGCCACGAATGGTATAATCGACAACATAAATCAAACACAATGCGAGCTTTAACTAATAAAATTGATGATTTTTTTGGTATTTCGCGAATCGAATCGAATTTTTGGAAGCGGTAATCGTCGATAATTCGCTCGCGTAATTATGTGATTTGCGTAAGTGAGTAATAACTGTCTCGGACTGCTTATCCGGGCGAGCACGCATTTAGCAGTCAGTTACTCATTCGGCGCGCATTAAGGCCTGCGTTGCAGCGCGCGCGCGGAAATTAGTGCGCGAACGTACACATTTTCGCTGCGTGCGCGCTCGCCTGACCACCCACAACGCCGCCGTCCGTCCCAGGCTCGCGCGCGAGCAATTACACTCGCTTTTATCTGCACGCGTTTTATTTCGCTGCGCGACAAATTCGCCCCGGCCATTATTCCACATTCTCGACTACACGCAGACAACTCATGCGAAACGTGTTATATTGGTTGCCTATACATATCTGTCTATCATACTTTGACATATTTGTATTGATTTATTGGTTGCATACATTAAGTGTAATATTGGTTGCCTACGTTAATTCGTTAATGACAATTATGACAGTTTGACGTATTTTTGGTTGCCTACAATGCAAATTTTTACTTTTTTTTTGAGCAAAAATCTTCTTACGCTGTAAGTCAAGTTTTAATTATATTTATAACCACAAAGTCGGTGACAATCCACCGAAATAGAAGCGTCTGCAGAAAGAAACAAAACTCGCATGAGTGCATGACACACGGAAATATATATCGCGGAGAAAAACGGCCTGAACGCCTAATAACTGGAACACACACAATGACGAATGTTTATCGCCTTAATCATTTCTGCGCCGGCATATAAAAGCTATTTTTACGTGCGGTTTAATATTCCACATGTGTTATACCGGCGGGCACTTCTTGTCTCTTGTTTTTTAAAGCCCGCGCGCGCACGATGATGGATTAACAGATGACAAATTTACTCGACATGCCTTTCCAGGCTTTCCCCTCGTGAATTTGTTTTTTCTCAACTGCGAACACAGAACGGAACTTAACTCCACTCAACTTAACTTAAGTCCAGTCAGACTCAATGGTGTATTGTCGTATGTAGTTGAAGTTTTGTGCTTTTGTCGTTGGCGGGTTGAAAGTCGCTTTTTATGTGGGCTTCGTGCGCTTTGTGGGCTTTTCTTGTCGCGCTTGTATTCAAACTTCGGCGTGAATTAAGCGGCTATTTTTATGAAGCGCGCACTCGATGCCCGAGTGTGTCCACTTCAAAGGAAGCGGCTGAAAGATGCGCGATATTCGTGTGTTTCAACTGGACGCCGGGCGCAGGATGTTTGCGTGTAACGGAAATCGCACGACACCGCCACCTCGGTGAAATAATGACCGTTCGTCGACAGGCAGTAAAAAAATGCTTTAAAATGTATTAAAAACACTTTATATACACACATATTTATTGGTATCATCAGTTGCATACTTAATAACATCTCTCTAATGTATAACTGGTTGTATATAGTAATAAATGTTATTACACTCTTTATAAATGCAAATCGCGGACAAAAAACACATTAATTCTTCTCTAATCTTATAAATAAATTAATAATCAGTTGTCAGTGGTGTTGCGCGCGTTGTGTGATCTAATCATCGAACGTTATGCAGCAGTATAACGTGGCGTAGCGTAATTTAATGTAATATAATGTAATCTAATACTCCTACTAAATATTTCCATTCAATTGAGTTGACTTAGCGTGACTTAAGTTGACTGTGCTTGACATCACGTTGAAATTGAAATTGAAGTCAATTTAAATTGATTCGATCACAGCCGCAACTATTCCTCCAGAGTGTTAATTTATCGAATGCTGTTAACTCACCGCTCCTTCAATGCTCAAATCGTGACTTTGTTAATTATTGCATTAACAATAATTAAATAATCAAAGGTGTTTATTTGTTAATTGTTTAAATAAACAAGTTGCAAATAATAAATTTAAATTTTATATTGAAAATTAAAATTAAGTGAATTTACGTTTTAGTTACGCTTGATACGCATGAAATTTTAAATCTGCCGGAAGTGGTATCGCCAGGTTGTTGTTGTGTAACATATTTAATAAAATATACAGATACAAATTGAATTAAAAGCCGAATATGATGAAAAAAGAAATCGCCGCATGTGTCGCACGCGGATTCGATTGGCGAAACGTCTTAAAAACACCTTGCCACCTTGTTTAACTCGTCCACCAATTGCAATATTGTAATAAATATGTAAATACGAGCATGTGTAATTTCATGGTTGCTTTTAATTGGTTTCCACAAGCGTATATAAAGTGGATGAAACATGCGTTGGAAATTTTGTCATTCGAATAATCTGAATTTATTTAATTTATTTGTTTCGTAAGTAGAAAATATTTGCGACAGCTGTAGGTTGGTTTATATAGGTACCGCACCAATTAACATAATTATAACATTTTTACGTAGATAGTTTATGTGCAATATGTTCAAAGTGAATTATGTTCAAAAACTCATAAAATGAAAATGTGCAAAATAATAATTACATATTATGCACAAAATATGTTTGTCTTTTTGCCAATTCTACAAATTCTACAACAATGTGTACGGTATAAGTAAAGTTTTTAACTCAACCCGCAAAATATCCAACAACCTACCTACTTCTCAAGGCGATAACTTAACTATGTAAAAGCATAGTTAAGTTTGCTTACTCATAGGTACGTGGTAAAACGTCCGACACCTCAAAACACAACACTTTCTAAGTGTTTTTCGCGTTTACTGAGTAATAAGTACCTACTCGCTGGAAATAAGTACGGAGTTCATTTGCAATTTTCAACGCGTGTAACTCTCTTCACTGTTTATCTAATACTTCGGAGTTAGCTCTTGGATCTAAATGACTAAATAGTTGTCATCAGCGCGCGCCCGCCGAGCAAATAGTAAACACTGAGCGCGTATTCATTTGTCTGATTTAATAATCGCACTTCTTGTTACAGCGCCGGCCTGCTGGAGATGATTAGCAGTCACGACGGACAATCAGGATAACCACCGGGTTTGCGAATGGTTAAAAGACCGTAATCTTTGTGGGCAATGATCATCGCGACGCGCCAACCACTTCAAACGCACTGCATTGCTTTGCAAACAATTCCAGCGGATTACTTAACGTTACAAGGTGTGTTTTCAATTTTCAACGAAGAGAGACAATTTAAATAGGTAGGTAGGTAAATTTATTTTTATTTGTAAAATAAATTTTTTTCATTTTTATCTTATTTTACGAGTATCTGAAGATATTTTTTGTAATTTAGTTCCTGGTATCGATAGCTCTTTATAGCTGAATACGCCGATTCAAATGTCAGTAGTTTGCAATTATTCAATTATCTCAATCATTAAATTGAGTCTATAAATTGCGATTAATTAACAAGCATGCCGCAGTATAACAACGCCAGCACTCGCCTGCAATTATTTATCGTTTTGTTTGTGCGATAAACAACGAAAAGCGTGCATAAGTAGGTACGCACATAATGAATTATTCCCTATACAGCTAACAAGAAAAATTAATGGAATAAATCAATACCTAGGTACTGTATTAAACGATTCAAGTGTGTAACTAGAGAATGTTGCGCTTTTAATTTAATTAATTGATTAAATGAAATTTCGACGCAGCCAGCAATTTGACTAAGCACTCCGCGGATGGTCATTAAGCTTGTGAGCTACGAGGCAAAACATTTCGATGGTCATTAAGCTTGTGAGCTACGAGGCAAAACATTTCGAAAGATTTATGCCCTTTATTACCACCCTAAAACATCCTTAATTGGAAGACAACGACAACGCGCGCCGCCTGAAATTCCAGGTTAATTAGTCGTTTTGCCATCCCTTTTAGACGCAAAGAAGAAAATTTCCTAAACTCGAAATATTTTCGACTCATTTTAAGAAAACAAATAAAATTTCTTGATGCTTTAAGCCGGTTTTTTTTATTTTATTTATCATGTTTTACAAATTTGATTAAGGGATGATTTAAGATCGCTATCGGTCGTAAACTCACACGTTTAGCTGTGTTTTCAAACCGGCTGCAATCCCGCATGATTGCGAGGATTTAGGTACTAAGACCCGACTCGAATCGCCTCGTGTGTGTTATTTATGTATGCGTTTATGAATGAGGAATGAACGAAGGATGTGCGCGTACACACACACAATGTGCGATTGGTTACGAGTTACGAGGCTGCGACATCTATAATGGTTTTCCAACCAAAACTCGTCCGCGCACACCGGGCTTAAATATTTATCGTCCGCCCTGAACGCCACGTTTTGTTGATTTGTTACGTAACAATGAATCAAAAGCCCTTTTGTCCTTTATTTATTCACGTACATGTTCCTTCTCTTCTTATACAGTATGTTAAAAAATATTTTTTTTGTTTATCAAAGTTTAGATTATAGAATTATTTGATTGTTGGTTATGTAATTTACGATAATGTTTATTTTTATTGTAAACGATAGTCAATTGTTACGTCCGTCGTTTCCGAAGAGTAACTCCCCTTCAATGGGATTCGTCACGCGTGGAAATGCAAATTGTAAATCTCTAAATGACTATTATGTCTACAGCGACTGTCAACGCTTTACAGATGTTCTTTTCTATTGATGTTTGAAAGTTGTCCATGAAGTTTTAATGTTTTACGGGTAAAAATTAAGCTCAACGCTTACCTGAACTGGGCCTGTCCGAGTATCTGGTGCAGTAAACCCACGCCGGCCACAGAATCGGCGCGTCCTTGCCGCCATTTCCGCTTCCGGCGGTTGCACCCTGCTGCTGTGGAGATTGCTGCTGATTTGCCGGTTGTTTATCTTCACTCTTGCTCAAATCCACTGGTGCCGCAGCCGCCGGAACATCCCTCTCCCTTTCAAAGCTCCCTCGTGTTGATTCAGCAACCGCAAGCGCTTTCTTATTAGGTTTCGATTTGCGGATGTTGATCGGTTCCGTAATCCTTCGACCAAAGTCCGCTTTGAGGATATTATCAATCGAGAACTTTAAACAACCATTTGTGGGTTCTACATTGTCCATTTTCAACACATTGGGTCGGAAGTAAAAGTGTTGCTTGATTTCGCTCTTCGGACTTTGTGGACTTTCCGGTCCGGAATAAGTCTTTTGACTTGAGGGACTATTAACTGGAGAATGCATTGGAGACTTATCCCCGCGATTATTGTTCAAACCCAAATGGAACGGCGCAGGGGAATCATTAAAGGATTTGCTGCTTGCAGGACTGAGCCTCTGACTGCTTGGACTAGACGGATCTGACTTGATCGACCCTGGGCCATGGTGATGATGATGCCCACTTGGGTCCAGAGTACTGTTGGTGATCTTGGAGATAGCATTCAGGTGACTTTCGATGTTTTTAAAGGAAAGATCCGGCCGTGGAGGTTGCGTTCCACTGCTGGGAGAGGAATTGGGCAGTTGCTCCTGTTCGTTACCGACGGAGAGCACCGTATCATCACTGCAACAACTCTGGTTGTCCGTCTCCAGCAGCTGGGGCGAGTCGCGCCCAGCAAAGTCGTTCGAGTCCATCGAGACGGAGCCGTCGGTGCTCTCCACAATGGTACCAGCTGGAGCACGCGCGAAGGGATGCGACGACAGCGGGTTTCTAGTCAGCGTTGCCATCGTCGTGGAGAGGTGTCACATACTCACGCACAGACGATTCACAAAACACAATCATCAGTTCATCATTACAGGCACATGTTTTTAAATACCGAAACCATCAACAACTGTTCAAGGTGTCCGCAATTCACAAAACTGATTTCACCACGTTAGAAACAATTTTTTTAACAACCCGAGTTACAGAAAATTGATCAATTTTCTGATGGAATTTTGAAAGGATTTTTGAACCGTTGCACAAACTGCTGCGCGCCAGCGCGTTTGAGTACACCTTCGACCTAATCGCCACGAGCTGCCAGTGTATTCTGAACCCGGTCACAAGGATTTGGGCGGAGCTGCAGGTCCCCTTGCTGGGCGGTCCCACCCATGCCGCACACTACCCACTCCATTTCCTCCAACCAATCTGGGACCAGTTTGGGATGTAAAGCGCTTGTAACCACGGCAGGCAGGTTTATGGGGGAACCACAGATCGTTGTTTTTCCACGCACACGTCATGGTGGGGCGAAGCGAGATTTTGACAAGCGTTGTTGCTCGTCGCTCGCATTCCGCGCACTTTACCACGTAAATAACCCAAGCGGCCGCGTCGAACGAATTGGTTTCGTTTCGTGCGTCGATAATGCGTTCGTCGAGTGTGCCATATTGCGGCGCACACACGTGCACATTCACGGCGTCGATCTGTTGTCGACTTTTCATGCGTTCTCATGTTCACATGCCGGCCGATTGTTGTGTTGATTTTGATTAACAGGCCACTTCAGCTTCGAGCCCAAGCTGGTTATGGAGAACAGTAGCAAATTGCGGTCCTGCAGATTTCTTGATGTCTTGTTTTGTATTTATTATTATACAGATTCGAACCAGTTTAAAGTTTTCCGTGTGGATTATAATTAAATTTCTTTGTGGATTGTTTAACGGTCGATGCGGTTAAATCGTTTTCGAGGAAGACATAAAGCGAGGATTCCTTAAATATTTTCGTTTTGCTAGCGCTGCGCGCCAGTCGGACGTGTGAGCGCGGAGAGAATGAAAAATCATTCGCAGAAGCGATTGGAAACGAGTATTTCAACATTGTACAGTTGAAGACGTTGCACGCTTTTAATTTGTCTTTGTGCGAAGAGCTTAAATACAACTTCATTCATCGCACAATCAAATAGGACGCGAAATGATTGTTCGACAAATACGAAATAAAGCTCGCCGTTTTGTAACTCAGTTGGATGAGTAGAAAAAGGGCGCACGAAAAGCTCTCTCCGAAATTGAATTGGCGTCATGCTGAAAAGAGAACAATGGTGTTTTGATCGCGCCGTGCGGATATCAATTTATTAGCCTATGATTAATAAATCAAAGCGTTTGCCAAATTGACACCCGCCTGCTAACGGAGCAAAAGGGCTTGGGAACATGGGCAACGCCCAGGTTACGTCAACCCCCACCATGAATCGCCGAGCTTTGCAGCGCTTTTTCACCCGCGCCCCCACCACTATTACGCCCGGCGTCTTCGGCGAAAGCTCATCCAGCTCCCACTTCTCTCCCCCGGGAGTTTTTCGCCGCGGTGTAGGCGTGGCTGCTTCGCCAATCAGTGCAGCGGCGAGCGGCGGCGACGTGTGTGGTCCGCAGGTCTTCATTATAATCTCAGCGTTCGCCAATTTACCGATTCGAAATACAAGTCGTCGGCGACTAAGCGACGTACGTGTAAACGTTGTAAACGTTGGCGCAACGAAAGCGGCGCAATGCGATGAGGTTAAATAAATGATTTTGCAAATGCGGGGCCCCGTGAAGGCACGTCGGGACATTACCGTCGTTAGCCAAAGCTCGGGCACTCGGGGCTTATGGTAGTGAAGTTGCCGTCGGTGCCATTTTTACTCGCTCGTTATCGCCGTGCCAGATGAGCGTGGAGTATGCACAAAAATTTTCTATTTGCAATCTCATTATCTTTCACAGGGTAATATGATAAACAAGCTAAACAATCTTCAAAATTAATAATTATTTTAATTTTTCGTATTTTTGTGTTTCTAGTATTTTAATTTTTTATTTTTTTAGTAATTGTGTTAAGTGGATAAAGTGAGGTTATGTAATTTCCTGTATATAATCTTTCCGCTTACTCGAAATTTATCATGCTTGCATTACATTCAGCATACACGATGACGTACGAGTACGTGATATTGCATCTCTTCTATTAATTATCCGCATTCGCCAAGAAAGCGCGCACGAAAAGTCTGTGTCAGTGCACTGATGGAAATGCATTTTCCGTGTCCGCATACACAGCCATTACCATTTATGTAATTGCCAATAAATTAATAGCTCAATCAATCATGTCTACCATGTAAATTTTATAAATTCCATTTGCAGGGTATGATTATGATAATTGTAATTTTAATTGATAATAATTATGGTTGTTAAATTATTAATTTATCTACCCTTGTTCAAAGGCTATGAAATAAAGGAATTAATTTTGTGAAGTTTTTGTTTTTCCCAGATCCACAAAGGCGCTTTATCCTCCGGGATACAAATATTTATTGCGCCGCATTCTGATGAGACAGATCGCTAGGGAAGAGGGTGGAAAACTCGGTGCAAGCAATTCGGCGATTACACGGCACGCGGGATTATGGGCGCGCAAAGTTAATTAATCACGATGCGACGTTCTGCGTGACGCGGCGAATCTAAAGTTTTTGCACGTACGCGTTGAATTAACTTTTAACTTGTAACGACGAGTAATTAAAACTTGAATAAAAGAATACATGATTCAGCTAATTAAAACGCATCAATTCCAAGAAACTGTTTAAACAAAAATATAAAACGTGGATTAATTATTAATTTAGTGCATTTTAAGATTAGAAATTAAATTAAGTATATAAAGTGTGAAATGGTTGCAGAAAGTGAAGTGACGCGACATCTTTCGTGCGATAGTAGAATTATACATAGGTGTAACGCTTGGTTGAACTTCTCCAGAGCCGTATTATTATGAAAATGAATATAATACTTTAAATTTTCAACGATTTGCACTATTTTTCTTCGGTAAATTTTCTGTCCAGTATTTGTAATAATTATTCACTAATATGATGTAAATCGTAATTCCCTATGGAGCCAGAAAAGCGGAGAAATGTCGCAAAACTTTGGTCAATTGCTTCAGCACTTTTTAAATTTCGCGCGCAAAACTGCCTTGAGATTTTTAAAATCATGACGAAATTCGTAAAAATCTTGCGAAAATCCATCGAAACATTTCAGCCTCCTCGCATATTCTGTGATCCTAATACCAAAAGTCAATTTCTTGCTTTTTATTTCGACCCGAAAATGGCTTAAATCCTCCATGCACACAGACGAACGCACATTTCCTGTATGGCACGTGCATGTGGGCGCGTGCGATTTAAGCAATTTTTGGTTCGAAATTAAGCTAAAAATTGACTTTTGGTATTAGGATCACAGAATATGCGAGGAGGCTGTAATATTTAAACGGATGTTCGCATGAATTCAATAAATTTCCCGTGACATTTTTAACTGTTACAAGACATGTCAGTTGTATAAATTTTAAAACTCAATAGAAAACTGCCCATATCTGCCAAATGTATTGCCGTTTTCATCATCTTATAGCAAAAAGTTTCTCTTTATAATGATATATTTTCTAACCCTTTTAGGGATTAGGAAGAGCCCAAAATGCCATTAAAATCAGTATTTTATTAAAAACGATAGAAAACACCCTGTATCTCCCGAACCAAGGGACCAATTGTATTGCCGTTTTTGCCATTTTATATCAAAAGAGTTTCTTTTTAAATTGACATATATGTTAAGCTCTTTCGGGATCAGGAAGAGCCCTAAAATGCTATTAAAATTAGTATTTTATTGAAAAACGATGGAAAACACCCTGTATCTCCCGAACCAAGAGCCCAACTGTATTGCAGTTTTTGCCATTTTATAGCAAAAGAGTTTCTCTTTAAATTGACATATATATTATCCCCCTTAGGGATCAGGAAGAGCCCTAAAATGCAATTAAAACCAGTATTTTATTAAAAAGCGATGGAAAACACCCTGTATTTCCATAACCAAGGGTCGTATTGCATTGCCGTTTTACCACCTTATAGCAAAAGAGTTTCTCTTTAAAATGACATATATATTATCCCTTTTAGGGATCAGGAAGATCCCTGAAATCCCAATAAAGTCAGTATTTTATTAAAAAGCGATGGAAAACACCCTGTATTTCCCGAACCAAAGGCCCAAATGTATTGCCGTTTCTACCATTTTATAGAAAAAGGGTTTCTCTTTAAAATGACCTGAATATTAGTCCCCTTAGGGATCAGGAAGAGCCCTAAAATGCCTTTAAAATCAGTATTTTATTGAAAAACGATTGAAAACACCCTGTATCTCCATAACCAAGAGCCCAATTGTATTGCTGTTTATAGCACTTTATAGTAAATGTGTTTCTCTTTAAAATGATATATATACCCACCCTTTTAGGGATCAGGAAGAGCTTTAAAATAGTCATTAAAAGTGCTTTCTTGAGAAGCTATGGAAATTACAAACCAAGAGCCAAATTGTATCTATAATAAGTATTCACTAATATAATGTAAATTAGAAATCTCAATAAAACCAAAAATGCGGTAGAAATGCCAATAAACTTTTATCATTTACTTTAGCACTTTTTAAATTTCGCGCGCAAAACTGCCTTGAACATTTTAAAATCATGACGAAATTCGTAAAAATCGTGCGAAAATCCAACGAAACATTTAAGCCTCCTCGCATATTCTGTGATCCTAATACCAAAAGTCAATTTTTAGCTTAATTTCGAACCAAAAATTGCTTAAATCGCACGCGCCCACATGCACGTGCCATACAGGAAATGTGCGTTCGTCTGTGTGCATGGAGGATTTAAGCCATTTTCGGGTCGAAATAAAAAGCAAGAAATTGACTTTTGGTATTAGGATCACAGAATATTCGAGGAGGCTGAAATGTTTCGACGGATTTTCGCAAGATTTTACGAATTTCGTCATGATTTTAAAATTTCAAAGCAGTTTTGCGCGCAAAATTTAAAATGTGGCAAAGTAAATGATAAAAGTTTATTGGCATTTCTACCGCATTCCTGGGGTCATTGTGATTCATGATTTACATTATATTAGTAAATAATTATGATAGATACAATTTGGCCCTTGGTTTGTTAGATACAGGGTGTTTTTCATCGTTTTTCAATATAATAGTGATTTTATTCGCATTTTAGGGCCCTTCCTAATCCCAAAGGGGGTAAATATATATGCCATTTTAAAGAGAAACTCCTTTTCTATACAGTGGTAAAAACGACAATACAATTGGGCCTTTGGTTCGCGAGATACAGGGTGTTTTCCATTGTTTTTCAATAAATTACTGATTTTATTGGGATTTTAGCGCCCTTCCTGGTCCCTAAAGAGGATAATATATATGTCATTTTAAAGAGAAACTCTTTTGCTATAAAATGGCAAAAACGGCAATACAATTGGGCCCTTATATCTGGAGATACAGGGTGTTTTTAATCGTTTTTCAATAAAATACTGATTTTATTGGGATTTTAGGGCCCTTCCTGATCCCTAAGGGGGATAATATATATGTCATTTTAAAGAGAAACTCTTTTGCTATAAAATGGTAAAAACGGCAATACAATTGGGCCCTTATATCGGGAGATACAGGGTGTTTTCCATCGTTTTTCAATAAAATACTGATTTTAATGGCATTTTAGGGCCCTTTCTGATCCCAAAAGGGGGTTAATATATATGTCATTTTAAAGAGAAACTCCTTTGCTATAAAATTGTAAAAACGGCGATACAATTGGGATTTTAGTTCTGGAGATATAGGGTGTTTTTCATTGTTCCTCAAAAAAGAGGAATAGTTAATAGCATTTTAGGGCTCTTCCTGATCCCTAAAAGGGTTAGGATACATATCATTGTAAAGAGAAACTCTTTTGCTATAAAACGGTAAAAACGGCAATACAATTGGGCCTTTGGTTCGGGAAATACAGGGTGTTTTCCATCGCTTTTTAATAAAATACTGACTTTATTGGGATTTCAGGGATCTTCCTGATCCCTAAAAGGGTTAGGATACATATCATTGCAAAGAGAAACCCTTTTGCTATAAGATGGTGAAAACGGCAATACAATTGGGCATTTGGTTCGTCAGATATAGTCTGTTTTCTATTGCGTTTTAAAATTTATACCACTAACATGTCCTGTAACAGGAAATTTATTGAAATCATGCGAACATCCGTTAAAATATTTCAGCCTCCTCGCATATTCTGTGATCCTAATACCAAAAGTCAATTTTTAGCTTTATTTCGAACCAAAATTGCTTAAATCGCACGCACACACATGCACGTGCCATACAGGAAATGTGCGTTTGTGTGTGTGCACGTAGGATTTAAGCCATTTCGGGTCGAAATAAAGCAAGAAATTGACTTTTGGTATTAGGATCACAGAATATGCGAGGAGGCTGAAATGTTTCGATGGATTTTCGCAAGATTTTTACGAATTTCGTCATGATTTTAAAAATTTCAAGGCAGTTTTGCGCGCGAAATTTAAAAGTAAGCAAAGTAATTGATAAAAGTTTATTGGCATTTCTACCGCATTTTTGGGGTCATTGTAATTCATGATTTACATTATATTAGTCAATATTTATGATAGATACAATTTGGCCCTTGGTTTGTTAGAAACAGAGTGTTTTCCATCGTTTTTCAATAAAATAGTGATTTTATTCGCATTTTAGGGCCCTTCCTAATCCCTAATGGGGATAATATATATGTAATTTTAAAGAGAAACTCTTTTGCTATAAAATGGTAAAAACTGCAATACGATCGGGCCCTTATTTCGGGAGATACAGGGTGTTTTTCATTGTTTTTAAATAAAATACTGATTTTATTGGGATTTTAGGGCCCTTCCTGATCCCTAAGGGGGATAATATATATGTCATTTTAAAGAGAAACTCTTTTGCTATAAAATGGTAAAAACGGCAATACAATTGGGCTCTTGGTTCGGGAGATACAGGGTGTTTTCCATCGTTTTTCAATAAAATACTAATTTTAATACCATTTTAGGGCTCTTCCTGATCCCTAAAAGGGTTAGGATACATATCATTGTAAAGAGAAACTCTTTTGCTATAAGCTGGTGAAAATGGCAATACAATTGGACCTTTGGTTTGGCAGATAGAGTCTGTTTTCTATTGAGTTTTAAAATTTATACAACTGACATGTCTTGTAACAGTTAAAAATGTCACGGGAAATTTATTGAATTCATGCGAACATCCGTTTAAATATTACAGCCTCCTCGCATATTCTGTGATCCTAATACCAAAAGTCAATTTTTAGCTTAATTTCGAACCAAAAATTGCTTAAATCGCACGCGCCCACATGCACGTGCCATACAGGAAATGTGCGTTCGTCTGTGTGCATGGAGGATTTAAGCCATTTTCGGGTCGAAATAAAAAGCAAGAAATTGACTTTTGGTATTAGGATCACAGAATATGCGAGGAGGCTGAAATGTTTCGATGGATTTTCGCAAGATTTTTACGAATTTCGTCATGATTTTAAAAATCTCAAGGCAGTTTTGCGCGCGAAATTTAAATAATACTGGAGTACACTTACGAGGGTTGAAACGTTTATTATACTAAAGCTTTACTCGTTTACTATACAACGCTGATTCGTTTTTCACCGCGTGGATAGGAAGTAAAACGGAAATAATTAATTGAACCTTCTGCGAATTGAACTTTGTTTATTGTTTCTCTATGTTTGCACAATTGTTAACCATATACGAATAAAACAAATTATGAACTCGAACAAAAAACACATCACAAATAAATAGATGGTACATTCTGATAGTGTCTAAAAGCCAGTTTACAGTTAAATTATTTTGTAATAATTGTACGTATAAATAAAGCACTAGTCTTAGTCTTCGTCCAGATTGACCACCTCGTCAGGGTTGCTAATTCGGGGTGGCTCTGGCCGCATCGGACCTGGGATCATCTGCCTCTGAGCGATCTGTGCCATCTGATCACGTAAAATTCTAAATAATACAAAACAAATTATATCAATTTAGTTCCACAATTTTGTTAAAATATTGCAACATACCTTTCAGCATCGGCCTGACTCAAACCAGGAAACTGTTTCTGCATTTGTTGAGCCAACCACATTGCCTGCTGTTGTGATTTGTAATACTCTTGAACGCGCGCTTGTTCAGCCGCCTTTATCGTACGAATTTCAGCTAACATCTTATTGAACGGCTGTAAATAAAACACGATATAAAAACACTTTAAATTTTCGATTTTGAAGATTACTTACAGCCATTTCACCATTCGCCAGTTGCTCGCGCATTTCGTTGATAAGTTGTGGCATGACGCCATTAATCTCAAGTTGTGTGACTCCCGGATGCTCTCTTTTGATGATACTAGTAAGTGCCAGGACGACGGTGTGCATTGGAATGTTGTTGATTGTGCCAGTGGTAGTTCTGTGCATCTTCTTCTCGTTTTCGAACTCTTCCCAGGCGGCTTTTCGCTCGTCTTCGTTGAGTACCTCATCTTCCTTATTCTCCAACAAACTCTGATGTTCATGATATTTAAAGATCGTGTCGGTAAAGTTTTGAAGCAACTCTCCGAGAAGGATGTCTTTGGGTGGTGCCGGCAAGGGTCTTACTTCTGGTATAGGTTCAAATCTGAACAAACAAACCATATATGATAAATAAATAATACAAGGGAAATTGTACAAAATGCATACTTGTATAATTCTTGAAGATCATTTTGATTATAATGCCGATCAATTTGTTGTTCGTCGATAACACGTTTGGATATGGCTTGCTTGATTACTTGGCGTTCGTATACTTTCATCTCCATTGTGCCCTACACAATCACCCGAAATTATTATCAAACATTTATTGCCAAAATTACAAAACTTACCAAAGTGACAAATCTATAAATATAAGACGGCTTGGTTTGGCCAAATCGATACACCCTGTAGATACTTTGAACGTCGTGAGAAGGATTCCACGACACATCGAAGATTATTACTCTATTTGCTGCTACTAAATTAATACCTAGACCGCCAGCTCTGGTTGAAATTAAGAACAACCTAAAAATCATAATCATTTGTCAATATGCTAAACTGTACCAAAATCTTGTAAATGTTACCTAGCTCTAGTGTTGCTGGGATCATTGAAAGTTTTACACCAAGCAGCACGATTATCGCAGGATGAACTACCGTCCAAACGAAAATAATCTAAGCCCAAGGACCATGAACTAGCATATCCTTTCAGCATGGAACTATCCCCATTCTGGGCCGCTTCGTCGATTTTCCCAAGAAAATATTCAATTATATTCAGAGATAATAATGATTGCGAGAAAACCAAACTGAAAAAACAATTTATCTTAGTTAATTTGCCTATAAATTATCCTTGTACTTACATTTTATCGCCAATCAATTCACATTGATGCAAAATTTCGAAAAGTAGAGACAACTTCCCACTATGTATAATATTATCCAATTCATCAGTCTGTGTGAATTGTCGCCACCACTCATCCTTGGCCGGTTCTGCAGAATCGTCGCCATCAAGGTTCTCTGGATCAGGATCCTGATCAGCCATTGCACGCGTCCTACGCCTCGTCGCTGTGGGTGCTTTCTTCTCCTTGGACGAATCATCTGACGATCCATCTGAATCGGTGCTCTCCGCCGTGTCCGAGTCATCATCAATAAAATCTTTCAAACTGCCCTCGGAATCCTCCTCATCATCATCGAAATTCTTCTCGGCCTTGTGTTTATTTGCAATACTTTTATCCAGCATAACTCTGGGATGCGTACAAATACGTTGCAGTTCTTGAAAATCGGTGAATAAAAAGGAAGTTCGAGTTCCGGACGCGCGTTGTGCAAAGTTAAGCAAATAGTGTTGATACAAACTACGCTGTACATCTGTCAAACTGATAAAGATGACGTACTCGTGTTTTGGGGGTAAGAAGGGCGCCAATACCGCGTAGTCCCTTCTCTGCACGGTACCGTCCAGCAACTTGTGCAGTACGTGTGATCGACGTCTCATAATTGAAATGTCCGTCTGTGTGGAGTCCGTATATTGTCCGTTTGTGATCGGATTTACGAAACGATTCAAGTACTCTTTGTATGTGCCCAACAAATTTGGTTTCACAAACTGGACCATGCAATAATACTCTTTCAGATTGTTTTGTAGTGGCGTACCGGTTAAAACAATCCTCCTCAGCGTTCGGATACGATTCATGGCTTTGCTTAGAGTGGTTTTTTCATTCTTCAGTAAATGCCCTTCATCGCACACGACCAAATCAGCCCCGGGATCAACCAGCGCTTTCTGAAAGTCCAGTCGCATTTTCTTCGACATTCTCTTGCTGGTTTCATTGCTCAAGTTTCTAAACATATCATAGCCAAGAACCATCACTCCGCCATACTTATGCCAATCCATAGTAGCCGAAGCTCTACCATTATTCTGCTTCAACGCTACCAAATTGTACACTTCGAACGCATCTTCATCCGGTAGCCATTTCTTAAACTCAGCTACCCAATTCAAAACGGTTGACAACGGGCACACAACCAATATTTTCTTCACACCAGTCTTTTCTTCGTTTGTGAGTAACGTGTGCGCCAAGGTAATAACCTGAAGGGTTTTACCCAAACCCATGCAATGCGCAAGAACACAGCCAGAACCTTTGGTGTCCTTGGCGCGTTGCAATGATTCAAAACAAGCATCCCACATGAATTGAATACCTTTGCCTTGATGAGGCTTCAAATGCTTAACAAGCTCTGGATGAACCGTTAAAAGTTCCTCTTGTGTTTCGTCGTTAAAGTCCAAAACCACCTTAGATTGTTGTGATTTTTCGAGTTTCGATGGATCGAAAATATTGTTGTACTTCTCTTGGCGTTCGGCAATACGTGCTTTGCGTGCAGCTTCATCCTTCTCGGCTTGTTTAGTCGAATCCGAAAGGGAATCACGAGAAATTACCTTGCGCAGTTGTTTACGTGTGGTTTTCTCTTCCTCGTCGCTGCTGTCAGCCACTTTCTTGATTCGGGAACGTTTGGATTTTCTGTTAAAACAAAACAATATATATACAAATTAATAATTAATAATTCCTATAACAATTTAATAGAAATCATACTTGGGAGGAGCTTTCTTTTCTTCTTCTTTATCTTCCTTTTCAGAATCATCGCTCGATTCATTCGCTTTCGAAGTATTATCAGCATCAGAACCGTCAGAATCCGAAAGGACGCGCTTTGCTCGTCCACGCTTCTTTTTAGAAGTTACGGGTACTTTCTCAACATCAGATCCTGAGCTTGGATCTTCATTCCACTCATCGGATTCGTCATTCTTCTTCTTAGATTTCTTACTTTTGGAGGCAGTCTTTTTCTCTGAATCTGAATCCGAAGCTAGGATAACTTCGGGTTCCATACAAATCTCTTCAGGAACTTCTTCATTCTCACTATCACTATCATTAGTTGTATTCTAAATTTATAAAGTTTCAATTAGATTAAAAAAGAACAACAGAAGTTTTCGGTTTTAAATATTACCTGATGATTACTTGATGACGGTGCATTTTCATCATCTTGAGTGTGGTTTGAACCCTCGCAGTTTTCTTCAACCCCATTTTCACCATTTTCCTTGACATTTTCAGAAGTTTCTTCATCTTCAGACACATCGCTGTCTTCTTTCTTTTCGTTAACTTTTTGCGACCTTTTCTTTTTCCTATTACGCGTATTTTGCTGATCAGAGTCGGAAGATTCTTTCCTTGCCTCACGCTTCCTCTTCAAACCACCCATATCATCCACCCTGGAAAAGCAGACAACATTTAGGCACATTCGATACCCAAACTAGCGACGTTTAAATAATTGTTCGATAACGTGGTTATTTAAATTTCGCTTGAGTGAAATATATGTATGTTTCAATAAATATTACAATATTAGTGCACTGTCCCTAATTGTACAATCACCTTTTGCGTTCGGGTGTTCTACTTTGTTCATCTTCTCTTTTTCTGCCTTTTGCAATTAAGTTAGATAGTCTATCAGTCGAAAACCTTTGAACATTTACAACGCATTTGCTAAAGAATTTTTTGTCTTGCCTAATATGTTCATCAAACTGCATATGCTTTCTCGGATGCACGACTTTCGTGCGCGTCTTCTTCTTTTTTGTCAGCTTCGCGTTAAAGTCCTCGTCGGAGTTGGACTCCGTATCGGACGATGATTCGGAAACGGGCGGCAAGCATGGATAAGTGTGAATGGTGGGTTCGCTCTCGGCAAATTGCACGCTTTTCAGTTGGCTTGAATTCGCCGGCGAACACTTTAGAATCGATTTTCTCATTGACGATTGATCCGCATCGGTTTCATTTTCGGAAGATGTTTCGCTCAAAGAAGTGTCCCTATTACCTATACTAGCAGGCTTAGAATTCCTCACCCGAGTGCTTTTGCGTTTGGGGGAATGTTTTAAACTAGAAGCACTATCTGTTGGCTTGGTTAAAATTGATAAATCACAGTCTGCATCATTGTCTATAATTTTCGAAACTTTAGAAGAACTATTTAAACTACTAGAGCTGGGCGCCAGGTGTTGTTCTGTGTTAGCTGTATCCTTATGATTTGAATGTATTGGCGCTTCCTGCTCACTGTCTGATGAAACTATAATACAAGAGTCATCCAATTTGGGTGGCTCAGATGAATGCCTATTTGGATCCAATAAAAGTGAGAGACTTTTGACCTTGATTTTCCCTACATTGCATGCATCATCATCTCCTGGCTCTTTCTTTATGCTATCACAACTTTCAGTAACTTCCTCACTACTGGCTAAGCCTGCACTCTCAACACAATTTGATGTGTTTGGCATTTCATCATTTATATTTTTATGAACATCATCATACATGTTGTCAATTTGTTTTTTAATTGAAGACAAAATGTTCTTGGACAATTTCTCCTTTTTTGTGGAGACAAGGTTCTTCAACTTCTCAAACATCTGCTGAGCTGACTGGAGCAGCACTTCCTCGTCGCCCTCCTGCTGTGGGTCCTCATCTTCATTCATCTTGCTGGAAAAGCCAAACAATATTAATTTCAGCTGTACTTACCAACACAAAGTGTAAATTTGACCATGAAAAATAAACAAATAAAAACCTGAGATGAAGAAAAAAAAAAGAATTGTCAACAGAAAGAAAACAATCCAAATGAAGTAAAGCGCACTAAATATACACAATCACCGCATTCTACGTAGTGCAAACGGTTCTTAGGTGCGTACTTTTTGCATAAATAATGATCATTGCCGCATTCAGCGTAAGGAATTTCCCGCTTTTTTTATAGGCAAAACGGACGCATCTTAACGCAAATTAGCCAAAATAATGGTGATGCACAAGCAGAAAGAACCGCATGACAACATGCTAGAGACTAGCCAACAACAATCACCTGTTATCGGAGTTCAACGTCAATTATTATATTCACAAAACAATGTAGCCGTTTACCCCGACACCGCCATCACGATCACTCGCGTAAACCAGACGCGAAATCTGGTTGGGAACGTAACGAAACGACGCGTTACGAAGGTAGCCGTGCGGCAGATGAATGAAGCTGTCAATGATTTTCTGTGTCAGTGCTGCCAACATGACAACATAATAGTTCCTAGAAACACAAAACATTATCCTGCAGGTTATAGGGATTTTGAGCTAGTAATATTGGTCATACTGCGTGGGAATTTTTTTGAAATTAGCGCTTGAATGAATTAAGAAAACTGCTCGGGCGACTTCGGGCATAATCGGCTGCAGGATGAGGGTTGCTCCCACTGAGTGTTCCAAACTACATTTAAAGAGATTAGATTTTGTAAATATGCATTGGACCAAACTGTTTATTATCATTTATTATTGTATTTTCCTACATTCATTACTTACTTGAACATAACTAACACTAATACAAATAATAACTTATTTGCACGTTCTCGAAATTGAATTTCCTTGATATATAACAGGTCAACACCACTCTATTTAATTACAATAAGAATAACAACAATCATTAGCATCATAACTCTATAATACAAAGTGGAATAAACTCTCATGAGCATTGCAACAATGATAGATATCACTCATCTGTATGTAGTATGTACACATTGACAAAAAAGAAGAAAACTGGTGGTTGTCGGGGGTGGATACTTATATTTACAATCGATCTTAGTTATTGTAGCGTATTGTAGCCCATCACGGAATACTGCGTTATCTGCACGTTCGTTTCTTTTCAATAATATTTCTTGCAACTTTGTAGTCTGCATGTGTTTTGCTTTCGATGAATGATAAATAAAAGAAAAAAAACACCAAAAAAACATTTGCAACAACTCGCGTTCTGCTTTGTGTGTGTGGATCACTAAGTAAAAATTTGCGCATACATATTGCTATGACGAATTAAAATCGGTGAAACGCGTCGGAACTGAACTAGATAAAGATAACAAAAAAAAAACTGTAACGTGAATGGGGCGTGTGGGGTGGTTGCGTATGTGCGCGCCTAGGGTTTGGAGTCAATCATGTCCACGTTTATTTTGTAGTATACGTACGGGTAGTACTCGGATTGGCCGAAACCCAGACCAGGAATGTCAACGCTCTAAAATATCACACACGCATAACACAATCACGTTTGTTTTAGTATGTCAATATTTGTACTTACATCAATATTTCCGCCACCTTGAAGGGCACTGCTGTCCAAGTGCCCGTAGAGTTGATTCAGCACCTCTCTGAGTCGTTTCGACGTCTTCTTGTTGGGGTGAATTAAAATCGCCTGGAAGTTAACAGGTAGGCCGTATCTCAACACCGATTCCACGAAGACGCGCAGCGCCTTCACGTGAATCCAAGCGCAGAAACACTCGCTGAAGTTAACTTTCAACCATCTCACAAGTGGCCCCTAAGAAATTAAACAACAAAATGTTTTTAAAACACACATTTTCGGCAATAAATTTTCATTTGTACTCACAAACTGCTTCTTCTTGTCAGTAACCAACTTGGTAATTTCGTTTTTACCAGCAGCCAATTCCTCCTCGTTGTAAGTAAACTCACGCACGTTGAATTTCTTCTCCCTGGCGTGCAGCTTAAACTCTTCGACGACCTTCTTAAACAACGAAACGGTGAACAGACCGTACTCAGCGTCCTGAGTGACCAATTGCGATGAGCGCGGCACAATCATATCCGTAATCTTTTCGTAGTTGGCATGCCAATCGTTAAAACTCGCCCTGGAGACAAAAAATAATAACATTTCACCAATTTTAATTTATTCTTATACATTATATCAACTTACTTGGGCACAATAACCAGCAAAGTAGTCAAGTACTCCGAGTCAAGAATAAAATGTTCTTTCTTGACCAGATCAGCCAAGTTACGCGTCAGCAAGCTGCCACTAAAAACAATAATAACGATAAATAATCATAATTTATTTAATATAAACAAATTTACGTTTGCTTCTTCTCCAAATTCTGCAGACTGCCCTTGAGGTTATTGTACGCAGTGCTTTTTGTCTTCAGATCAGCATCAATCTGACCAACTTGCTTGCTGATGATATCAGCAATGTTCTTCAAGCTCTGCTTGATCGGATACTTGGCGATGTCCCACTGGAATCGCGTGATGTAGCTTGGCAAATCACCTGCAAGATTACACTCTGTTAATTCATCACCAAAACATAACAAATCGTAAAATACAACGATTAGAAATTAAGAATAGTATAGTTTGCTGGGTGAATATATAAATTTGAGAGAAACTAGTGCTTCTACAACATCAGGTGTATAGAATAAAAACACACACACATTAAAAACATTTCAGGACAATGAAGCAGATTATAATAAGCCTGGTGAGAGGTGTGGTGGCTAAACACTGGCACAACTGGTGGACAGTGCAACAGCCACTGACCTAGCCCCAGGCGAGATGCGTCGCTGCGCTTACGGTGCGCATTACGATTGCCGTTAGCATGATCAAGATCAAAATCATTGCCATTCACCAACGGTTCATCATCGTCGCCTTCATCATCATTATCAACATCATCACCTCCATTATCAACATCAACATTATTATTATCTCGATCAAGTCTTGCGCTGCCGCACTGATTGCAATCGTTGGCGGGCGAATAACTAGCCTCTGGCTTGTTGCTGCCACCGCCGCCTCCCACCAGACACTCGTCGCACGGCATCCGCAGCCACTTCTTGGCTGTTGCGTGCCGCCGGCGCGGTGGCGACTCCGCTCGATTGCGGTTTGTGTCTTCCTCCCGATGGCGTCTGAACGACAAGCCGTGCATCGTGAAGCGCCTGCGGCTCTCTGCGCGCGCAATTTGCGTTAGGTTCGCGGACAAACAAAATCAACAATCGCGCAATTAATAACAAATCAAAAATCGGCATTCACATTCGTATTTTACTGTATATTAGTAAAGTTTAGTGTATACCTACTTAGGAATGTATAGTTACTTAAAAACGACACTTACTATTGTTCGCCATCAAGTTCTCGTGTAGTTTATCGCGTTGATCTTCGAGAACTTCGCCCAGATAGGAGGCGACTTTGCGCGTGATCGACTCGACAAAGCCATCGAGCTTTCCTAGATCATCAGAAAGACCTACTAATTGATCCAATGTTCCAACCTGAAATAAAAAAATTCAATTAAATTGAAGAAATAAGTAAATTAGGCCTGAAAAACAACAAAAATATGATTTCTTTGGACATTAATGTTTAAATATTCTTTAAATATTACCAGAAAAAAATAAAAAAAAACTCAAAAACATTTAACAAATACCTTGAGGTCTGGAATCATAAACTTGTAGTTCAACGACAAGTTGTTCTGTCTGGTTGTATTGTTCATGGAATCCCATGTCTGCTGGCAGGTCTTGTCTCCAGGTGCAGAGATCAGCCAGTACTCTGTCATCTTCACCTAAAACATTAATAAAACCATCAATCTATTGTTCCAAATCACATCACACTGATCATATGACTAAAGTAATAAAATACTAACAACTTTTTTAGGAACTGTCTACTCTAAACGCAGTAAAACCACCTAAAACCCCTTTATTATTCAATATCGCGCATTATTTCGATCGCACCACAACTGAATGCCTGCAGCAGCAGGTCACAAGTGTAGTCACAAGTTCTCCAAACCAAACTAAATGCGTGTCGGTTTAATTTTAGCCGCGTTGTTCACGATAATTCTATGAATTATAATTACACGATTCGATTAATAAATATCGAACAGTCTACGCTAGTCAGCGAGGGTTGTCTACTGGCTTAGACTGAAGGGGTGCTGATGTGAAGTAGTTCAAGGTAAACACACTTATGACCCCCAAACAAATCGATAGTTTCGGGACGCGTGCACTCCATGATGGTGTTGAACACCGTGGTGCAGGCGAGTGGTACGTGTCCACCAAGGGTTGATGAATGTACTTACGGCTTAATTTCGTAGCAGGAACGTTTGAACTCGGACGAAACAACCCTCAACCACTCCCCAGACGACAGCTGATCATTACTGGCATCAAATTCACGTGATAACATCATATGACATCTAGCAGGAGGCGCCGAAGTTCGGCGCGTCATGTGATGCTAATCGTGAAGTGGGGGCACAAATGTAGCTATTGTCCGCTGACAATTTGACAAGACAAATTTCAAAATTTTCGCTGTTTGGCAACCAGCACTACACATGTTTCAGGTTGTAAAGATTCAGAACTCCGAGCTTCACTCACAAAAATAACAAAGTATATTATATTTTAGTTTAAATTGCGTAGTATAAATAACAACTTACACTCTATAATATCTCTGGAAACTGGGAACAAGTACTTATACCTATAATACAAATGTGATGTTTGTCTTTATTAGTTTTGAATTCTTTCAGGATCTTCAAGTCTGCAACAAAACAAAATTTAGCAATAATATAACAATGTATATGTTAACAATGCCTACCTATGAATGGCAACTTCTGAATCCTTAATAAATGAAATATCCTGTGGTGTCAAGAACACATACTGCACTTCTTTATTCTTCTTGGCATGATCGATCAGAATCTGAATCACCAAGTTACGATTCTGTGGATCCATATACACATCAAATTCATCCAAAATATAAAACGGAAAGTCGAGCGTCTTCCACAACGCGTACAGAAACGCAACTGTCGAGAAGGAACGCTCGCCACCGGATAAATTCGTTGTTGGTGTTATGCCTCTTGCGCCTGCGTGGGGTATAACAATAATATCTAATGTTTCATCGTCATAGTTAATCGCCATATTGCCCTGATAACAAACAAAGAATACAATTCAATACTTTGTAACACAAGAAATGTTATTATATAAATAATAATCACTTACTTGATAATTTCGACACTGTAGAAAATTCTTAAAATTAAAAATGGCGTAATCCTTCATATACTTTTTCGTCTCTAGTAATTTCCTCTTCCTGCCGGCTTTCGCGTCCTGCAGTTCCATCAATGTCAGCTCCATATCTTTCATCGTCTCGCGATGCACGTCAATACGTTCATCCAACCTCGTTAACTCAATTTCCAATGTCTCAAGATTAAAACGTGACAAATCATGTACCTGCCTCTGCAGTTTATCAATCATCTCATCGATTTCTTCAGATCTGCGGATAACTTCCGGCCGGACGCCATTTTGCGTTTCCGTTTCAACACACAACTGCTCCCAATACTTATGCAACTTGCACATCACCTCCTTTTCATTATCAATCGTACCTTTTAGCTCATCAAAGCGACGTTTTATTTTATTAAACTCATTGGTAACTCCCTGAGATTTATATCGCTGTGTGTTTATTAAGTCTTGTAAATCCTCTTTGGTTTTACGCGTTTCTCTACGCGCAGAATCAAACTGCTGCGCCTCCATCTTTAACCCTCGAACTTTCTCTTGTAATTCTTCAATTTGTAGACGTGATTCATGAACAGTTGATGATTTTTCTTTGATTATCCGTTCTAATTCACTAGATTCTTTCTTTAAATCATCAACATTACCAGGTGCTTCAATTGGTAGCGTTTGTACCTTATTAATTTTCCTCGCGATCACGTCTAAATCCTGTCGGCAATTCGCAATGTGTTGTTTAAGTCTTGGAAGACCCTCAGCAGCCGAAGTTACTTCATCTCGTGCGCTTTGAAAACTCATCTTGAGTTCATTTTTCGTGTGATTTTCTTTCGCCAGTGCCACTTCGCACTGTCTTACAGCTTCCTGAGAATCAACTTGAATAAACTTCGTATTTGTTTGCCTACCAGAATAGAATCTGTAGTTGGGGTCGGGGTGGATTGTGTCACCGGTGGGTGTAATTGCGATTCTGCAGTTGTGCGGGACAGTGTCGCGATTTTTCAGAATACTGAAACCGAACTTTTTGTCCGGTATGAGGAGGACTGTCTCGATGTTTGCTTGGTCAATGAGACAATTCATCACGACGGGATTTTGCACGGAAAGCACATCGTACAGACGAACACAATTCGGGTGATTGGCAACTAAATATTTGGATACATCATGGGGCTGAAAAGATTCAAATATTAATGTAGATAAGTTTAGTGCAGCGCCATCTGGAGGGGCTTTATGCAACTATAACTATCATAAATTTTTAATCTCTATTTTAACACCTTTAAAATTATATTTTCGCGAGAAAAACTATCCTATGTTCTTTTCTAAACCCTTACCTATCTCTAAACCAAAATTTATCAAAATTCCACAAGTAGTTTAGAAGTTAAAGTGTAATAAACATACAAATACACACATTTTCGTTTTTGGATAGCTATTCTCTTACCTTATCAACAAATTTGGAAGCAATAATCGACGGTGGCCTCCCTCCGCCTTCTTTGGGCCAAACCCTCTTAATAATCTGATTTAATCTATTCTGATCTTGCTGGGAATTGACAAGAAACGAACAGAGCAAACCAGCTTTCAGGTACGACTCCACCGCCAGCGTCCAGCGCTTATCTTTAATAGAAACCTCAGTACCAATAGGCCCAATCGGTGGTCTTGTAAAATTTTGCGCGTCTGATTCAATCGCGTGGATTAATCGAACAATATGCGGGCCATAAATCGCATACGGATTATTGGTTTCTTTCTGGAGTGTGTTCAATCTATCACAAATCACATCTAAACAAAAATAAACATAAATTTAATATTAATATTAATTTTTCTTATAAAATAAATATACATACTTATTTTATTAGTTGTAGCGTGTAATTGTTGCTTAATCGAATCCATTTTGCCTTCTTTTTCTTTACAATGCATTGACAATTTATTGTATTCATCTTCATAAGTTGTCAACAAATTAGTTTTCTCTTTCTTTTGTACGTCTAATTGCAATAAACTTTCTTCTTTCGCTTGTTTATCTTTTTCTAGTTGTGAACATCTACAAATATTTTAATTTGAAGTTAGGTAAAAGTAAATACAATAAACTATGAAATGGTGTACCTTTGATTGTAGTTGTTAATCATTTCATGGAGACCTGCTAAATCTTGTTTTCTAAATGTTAGTTGTCTTTCAATGGATGCAATCAGACTCGTTTTTTCGTTGATTTCTTTCTCAATCGCTCGAATTTTTAATGTAAGTTCTTGTACTGGTTTCTCATTTTCGTCCTGTGATAGATTCAATTCCCGTAATTTATCTTCCAATTCTCTAGAATCAAAAAAAAATTTTTTTTAAACGGTTTATGAATTATTTATGTGTGAATATATTTACCTTTTCTCCTGTTCAACTGCCTGAACACTTTGTTGCTGCTTTTCATACGTATCCTCAATGTTCTTCAGGTCGGTCATCATGTTATCAACAACTTTCTTTTGTTTTTTGTACTTTGTCTCATTTGTAATTGTCGTAGCCCACGCTTTTTCATTATTTAACTCCTCTAACTTATGCTTTAATTCCTCAGCTTCTCTAGCATCCTCGATTTTCCTTTTTAACTTTACAGTTTTTTTAATCAGCGCTGACTCTTGGTCTTTTTTTATAGTAAACTCTTTGATGGCCATGTTCTTGTTTTTGATGGCTTCTACTAACATTTGATTAAGGTGGTCTAAGCGGGTCGCACGATAAAAGAGATCAAATCGTTTTTTGTTGTCAGTTGCGTTAAGGAAGTTTCTAGCTGTGTCTTGTGATAATATGCAGACAGGATTGTCAACTTGAATGTTTAATGCTGATGTAAGATCATTTAAATCTTTGGTTTTTTTCGTAACTACTTTTCCTGCAAAAGTGGAAATTGTGTATAACTGGTTGCCTGGTTGGATAATCAAACCTCAATCAGTAAAAAATAAAACTTACCTTGTTCATTTTTTATTCGATATGAACTTCCACCCGCCAATGACATAGTCCTGCAAACAGTGATTTTGTTCCCATATTCCTCTTGTTTATAAGCATGGGGTCCTTCATTGTTCAAGACAATCTCAATGCTTGCAGAGTTGCAACCAAATTTAATAAATGCTATAAAAATTGATGTTGTAAATAAAAATACTTCAGAATATGATGATAAACTGCACCTTTAACACTTGATATATCTCCACGGTTTGTGGTTTTTGCTTTACACCCCAAACCAAGTGATAAAGCAGCTAGAATAGCACTTTTACCACTGCCATTGTTTCCAGTCAAAAAATTAACATTTCCAGCAAATTCCACCTCAAGAAATGAATGGCACATGAAATTTTTGAGTGTCATCTGAAGAATACGTCCAGCACGCTTGGAATAATAAAAATTATCACAATTCATATTCAATTAAACAATAAATATCTACAGAAATTGTGCAAAGCTAAAGACTTTTACAAATATATACAAAAATTAAATGATACAAAGGTAATGCTAGTTCAGAAAATGTATTGTGCGATAATAAACATGTTTGTTTATATTCAAACAAATGCCATCTCCGTGAATTTGTTTTTTTGTTTATATTGTTAGAGACTCACCAAATTCGAATTACATTGCGTCGCCGTCTGCGATCTTTTCGGTGACTCATCCTCCGATGAAGAAGAAGCCGCACGACGCCGCTTGCCTCTCATCTTATGCAATAACACAACTGTATATAAACAAACTACTAACTATTCTATAACATTGAACAACAATGCACTGTAAACAAGAGACACTGGCGGAGCAACGCTAACTGATTCAACATCGCGCCAGAATTAACAGAAATAACTGTCACTGTCAAAAATGGTTGCAAGCTCATTTGATTTTGACATTCTGTCAAATGTGATTTTGAGGCTGTCAAAATCAGTGATCAGCGAAACTGCAGAATAACCACAACTCACAACGTTCGCATAGAAAGCCGATTGTAATTTAAAAGCAAACGTGAATTTACGGAGTAAAAATGACCGAAGTTTTCTCTGGAGCAACGATGAGTGGACCGGCCGCGGACTGGATGGATGCAGCGCATAGCACCGGTGTAAGTAAAGAAAAATTTACAGAAATCTTATGTTGTATACCATTATGATCATTACAAGACAAAATATTGTTTAGACCTCGATTATGGCTGCGGAATTCGATGGGGGTGTAGTGATTGGTGCTGATTCACGTACTACAACTGGGTGAGTTTAAATATTTGATGTTTGTCTTATTATATTATACTAATTCATTATTTTTGCAGATCATACATTGCCAATCGTGTAACTGACAAGTTAACCAGGATCACAGACAATATCTACTGCTGTAGGTCTGGTTCAGCTGCAGACACTCAAGCAATTGCTGATATTGTGTCATACCATCTAGAATTTCACGCGTAAGATGTTAAAATTCGTGATTTTTATGTTTTATTTGCTTATTTTGCTTGTTTTCAATAGTATGGAATTATCTGCACCACCTTTGGTTGAATCCGGCGCTGCGGTTTTCCGTGAGTTGTGCTACAACTACCGGGATTCTTTAATGGCCGGTATTCTCGTCGCTGGTTGGGATAAAATCAAAGGCGGTCAAGTTTATTGCATCCCCATTGGTGGAATGTGCGTGCGACAACCTGTTTCTATTGGTGGATCAGGTTCTAGTTATGTTTATGGTTATGTTGATTCCCACTACAAGCCAGGGATGAGTCAAGAAGAGTGTGTGAAGTTCATCACAAACAGTAAGTATAATTTTTGTCTACTTTCTGTTAATGTTAAACTGATATTTGCAATAAATTTCTTTTTTGTTTAGCTTTAAGCCTTGCAATGTCCCGTGATGGTTCATCTGGTGGTGTTGTACGTTTGGGAATCATCACCAAGGATGGCATCGAACGCAGAGTGATTCTCGGCACCGAATTGCCCAAATTCTACGAAGGTTAATCACGCGGAACGTTTATGATTTAATTTGTAAGGCGTTCAATTTTTTACCTTAAGTTTCTTTGTCTGCATTGTAAGGGTTTAAATAATAATTCTGATATATAAAAATGTGTCTGTGCTTTATCAACATGGGCACAAATATTTTTCTCCCGGTTAATCAAATATGAAGTTGGTTCTTTCTTAATACTCTTTACTTTATACCAGAATAAAAAAGCTCTTAATATCCGTCTCGATGGTAAGAATTATAAATTACTTTCGAAAGTCAAGTAACAATTTCTTGGTTAGTTTGTGTATCAAAGAGCGAAATATACCACAGCGGCCCTGTCGATGGAAGCGTCTAGTCTTCCTCCGCGGAGCCCTTCTCGTCAGCGTCCTCCTCACCGCTGTACACCTGGCCTTCCTCCTCCTCTTCGCCATCGTCGTCACCCGCCACTTCGGCGTTCTCGGCCTCGGCGCGCTCCATTTGTCGCACCAGGTCGGCTTCGTCTGTAGCTGTCACCACCTTTGGCTATTAAACAAACAAACACATTTTAAGTGATTAATTCAATTGCATCAATATTATAAACGCGAAAAAAAAAAGATTAAGAGGATAGATGTTTGTTACTCTGACGGATAAACTACTGAAGCAATTTTCATTTAATATTATACGGTTATATCGAGTTTGTTGTTAAGTTGAGGCTATATTAAAAGTAAAAATGCACGTACTGCCATTTGAACTTGGAAAACACCTCCTAATTTCTCTATCGTCACTTTGATAACAGCAATGGCGTCCTCCAACAGTTTGAGACCGTCTGCTTTCTCGGGTGTGGACGTCGTCATGACGTACAGAGGTGGCGCGATCAGATTGATTTTGATCGGAAGTTCTTCAGTAGAGAGCGCCAGACCAGCTTTGAGCGCTTCTTTCACTGCATCAATGCCTTCATACCCGTAACAAGCGCATTCAATGTCCGAACGGATCTTTACAGCTTGCGATGTCAGTTTCCTCTTTACTTGACAAAGAAGAACTTCTTTCGTGTTTTCATCCAAACCGCATTCGGCGAGGATATTAGGATCACTATACAAAACAAAAATAATAAAAAAAGCAATTTTACATTACAATTGCATCATTTTCACAAAAATTATCAAAAAATTAAAAAAATAATTCAAAATACTTACACTACAGCTTGTTTAAAATAATCATAAGCACTGCCCTTCTTCTTTGACTTATCCTCAAATTTCCACGCAGTTTTTTCATACAATTCCTCCAGCTGTTCATCAGTTTCATACTTTAGAAGTTCCGCCACATGCCTAAGAATGGAATTCACAGCTTTCGCCTTTGCGAATCGTTCTGTGCACTTTTCTACATCCTCAGCGCTCACACGACGTTTGGACAGATCTATGTATCCCTTTTCTTTATCCACTCTGATTACGACCACCGGCTCAGTCTTGCCGACGCGAATCAATTTATTAATGGAACGAATACGTCTTCGCGACAACTCGGAGAGCAATATCATGCCCTCAATGTCGTTGTATTCAAGAAGATGCACATATGCGCCCATTTCAGCAATGGAGCGCACATTTACCATCACCACATCGTCGACTTCCGGATACTTTTCCTTGTAGAATCTACACGTGAGCGGCATCTTGATCTACAAACACAGAAAATAATTTAGTATAACTAGTTTTATGTTAATTTTTATTTAATTGGTACAGCATAAGGTGCGTGCGGTTCATGCTCGTCGATATTTCGAGGTTAGAATAAGTTTGTTGGCAATATAAACAAGTTCTACAGGGTTTTATTTCAATGTAATGATTGGGAATTATGTCTTACCGGGTGTTCGTTACGATGTCTTTGATTTGTTTGTCAACTATAGTCAGATTTCCACGCGAATTTCTTCACGTGCTTCAAAGAAAATGAAACTTTGCCACTACACACGGAACGTAATCTGTTGTAGGTGGTGGAGAGGGGAGTTTATGACAGAGCTACACCTACATTTGACCTTGAACCATTTTTGACATTTCTAAGTATTTAAACTTGATTTAAGCAAAGTTTTAAGCTGCAAACAGTTAAAAATTGCTGAAAACTATCGATTTAAACAAATTAATTTGTCTAATGTAGTGAACTAATCATTTTACTTTAGATTGGTGCAATCTACTAACTGTTTTTGACAGTTGGTACTACTGGAAAATGGTAGTACTGAAATACATAGTTCATACTTTAAATTTCAAACAAAACTCGATGAAATTTGAATTTAGATAAGTAAATAATTAATTATCAAGGTTTAATAGTTGATTATCTATTATAACTTGATAAATATATGCTTATAATATTGGTACAAGCAGGGTAATTTGACGTTTTCCAACATGGTTGCCACTAGTTCATGAACAATACTCAAAGCATTCCCTTGCCTAGTATAAAACATTGTAAATGCGCATAAAATTACCTAGTTTACTTATTTTAGCCATCAATTAGTAAGCTGCGGTTTATCAACAAACTCAGTACCATGCCTAAAGATAGTATGCGCCGTCGCACCAACCATAACACCCCAAAACAATAAAAACAACAAAGATTCCGTCGAATACTCCGACGGTAAAACCGCGCATGTAACAAACATGGCCACCGCGACCAATAAAACGGACGGGAATGTCGCATACTTCCAATCGCGTTCGATGCCAAGCGGACTCCGCAAATCACTCAAACCCAAAAACAAATCAATCGCATCCTGGCGGAATCCATCTTTAAAATTATTCCGAATATATCTAGTCATGGAATTAATTCCATCTCGACACAGACCAGCTTTTGTACGTTTACCAGTCCGGGTAAAATCGGTCTTCAACGCGCCTGTACCCGAGTATTGAATGCTAATCAAATCGGCGTTATCCGCCCAGACATTCTTGAACAACATCTCTAATCCATGCATTTGCTCCGTAACCTCATCGGGTTTGAGTACATTGAGTCTTCTGAGCATGTTCGTCAACGCACGTCGTGCTAACATACTCTGAACCACATTAGTTCTATCCAAACAATCGATACAATTGGTGCGGAAGACGCCATCTTGTAGACTGATCAGCGAGCCATCTCTTAACAACAAAAAGTACCCCATTTCATCTTGATCGTGCGCAACACGATCGATTAAAATCGACAAACGCTCCCATTTCATATGCCTACACTCAGCGTGAAAATCAAACGGTTCATATCTCACGGAAGTATAACCTATACTAGCGATTACATCACTAAATGCTTGCTCCAGTCGTCCTTCAGCACCCTTTTGATCAACAAGATCTAACAGTACTTGTCTACCGTATAAAAGACTCATGCTATCCAAATGTTTAACACATGCTTGTTTCTGTTCCTCGCTGTCAATATCCAGCACCTTCGGCGGTGGTTTATAGCGTAAATCAGGCGACTGCGACCAGAACAATGGAATCGAACCTCTAATCTGAACAAAACTACATTTATCATTGTCATACTCGACGATCTGCTCGGTTTCCACGAAGTTGGCAACACTTCCATCACGATCAATCCCTCGACGGAATAATCTCGTACCAGCACGATGAATACTCCGGCGTGAAATGATCGCCCAGATAAAGTTGTTCCCATTGACAACACATTGATTAATCGAAATAAAACCATGTATCAAAGGCAGGGCGAAATTCTTGTAGTCATAACTCATGAAGTTCTTCAATAAGTATCTGTTCCATACAAACCGCTGATCAGCTCTGGCAAACATCGATTGACTATTGAATCCTGGCCCAGCACTGTGCAATCTCTGCAGGCTATGAGTAAGATCATAACTGTAGCTGAAGTAGAAGTATGGTGTGCTTAATACAAGATGGATCATTCTGATGTATTGATCATTGTCGGCAATCTGCTGTGCATTCATATGAATTGTGCTTTTTGCATATGGAATTAATTTGGTGTCAACTAACTTCCATATTGCATGACCATTCAGGAATCCTACTAATTCTCTTGTTGTGGCTATCAAGAGGTACTTTCCTGATATGAGTTGAATACTTCCAAGCAATCCACAGAAATCCTGTCTTCTTTCACATGGTATATGATCTGGTTTGGGCACAAATTTCGCTTCTTCAGATATTCTATCAATGCATAGCAGTTGTTTGTATCCTATGGGTTCAATGTAGAATTTATCTTGGGTGATGTGTCTAGCAGGTGATAATTATTAGTATATTAATTGATATTGTTTAAAAATAGTTGCCTTACAAGGTTAAATCGTCGAAAACGTCGTAAACTTGTTGCAGATCCCTTGGGGCGTTCATTTTATGCTGGTTTTGGTCTCGGGGGAGGTTGGTTGTAAATGCTTTACTTGGCAAAGGTCAATATACAACGCACAGATGATTGGAACAACATTACATCAATGATTTTTGGTTCACTATGTTCACAAATCGTTGAGTTTTGTGAAGTTCGCATGTGTTTGTGACGTTTCTGACGTCATTTGACATTTCTAAGGCAGTTTCAGATTGTAAGTAAAATAAATATCTATTCTGATCTTATTATCAGTTATTATCATAGTTGATATTGTGTTATTTATCAAATGTTGTGTACTTTTTGATTAGAAAGTTTAGTTTAGGAATAGTGAAGGTGAAATGTTAAAAGTTTCGCAGTGACACTAGCGACACTCAAAAAAAGGTTTGCATTCACAACTCTGACAATAAGTCACGTGGGATGGACTTGTCAATGCTTGTCCGCGTATGACGTCCGCCAGTTTGTGTTAACCTCCAATACTTCTGTTGTGTTGTGATCGTTTGTTGTTGTGATTGTTTATGCCTTGGAGCGCAAACCAGCAGCCCTCGCTCGAAGTGCATGCGGCAGACGGTTAGAATGTGAGTGGGCGAGTGCGCGACGCGATGGTGATGTGGTAGCATGTCGCGCGTTGCGGGACCGAACATGGCCCGGCCCGACGCACTCTGCAGCCAGTCGCTGCTGGAGGCCGGCGAGCGTCCACTGGAGCGCCCGCTCGGCGACCCCGGCGACGTGAAGACGCAATTCGCGACGCGCGAGGGTGTCTACCGGCTGATGACGCTCAGCGAGTACTCACGCCCGAACCGCGTCGGCTACCAACCCCAAGGGCAGACGCCCCCACAGGTCTGCGTGTCGCTGGTATCACTACCCGAGCAAGGCGAACGCATCTGCTTCAATCACGGTCGCGAGATCTACGTGTACGTCTACAAAGGCACGAAAAAAGCAGATCTGAGTAAACCCTTAGAGAAAAAGGGCTACAAGGGCACCAACCCAACATGTCATGACTTCAATGTGGCCTCTGCAACTGGTGAGAGTGTAAGTCTCTTGATAGGCTTCAGCACAGGGCAAATCCAATTGATTGATCCTGTCAAAAAAGAATTGAGTAAATTATTCAATGAAGAGCGACTCATTGATAAGAGTCGAGTGACTTGCCTGAGGTGGATCCCAGGCAGCAAGTCACTCTTCCTGGCAGCGCATAGTTCCGGGCAGCTGTATGTATACAATGAAGAATTACCCTGTGGATCAGCCGGTCCACACTATCAAACATTCAAGGCAGGCGAAGGTTTCGTCGTCTCCACATGCAAAACAAAATCAACACGAAATCCTTTGTTTCGATGGCTGTTGGGCACTGGGGCGGCCATCAACGAGATTGCATTCAGTCCGTCGGGGGCACAACTTGCCATAGTGACCCAGGACGGCATGCTCCGTGTGTTCCAATACGACAGCATGGAGTTAATCGGCACGGCGCGTTCCTATTTCGGTGGATTGTTGTGTGTCGCATGGTCTGGCGATGGGCGACTCATAGCCGTCGGCGGTGAAGATGATCTTGTCACCATCTGGTCGCTGGAACACAAGCGGGTGATTGCGCGGGCGCAGGGTCATCGTTCCTGGGTGGCGGCCGTCGCCTTCGACTGGTTCCTCGAGGGCGAATCCTATTATCGCATTGGTTCCGTCGGGCATGATACACAGCTGTGCCTTTGGGAGCTGCCCGAAGATTGTCTCTCGCCGCCGAAGCCGAAGATCAAACGGCAGGCGGATCCCTTACAATTGGTGGGCACCCCGGGCTGCCCGCGTCTCAACGAGTGCCATAATCTCGAGCCGCTCATCTGCAAGAAGATCGCGCATGAACGACTCACGGCGCTGATCTTTCAGCCGGATTGTGTGGTCACCGCCTGCCAGGAGGGCTGTGTGTACACCTGGGCACGTCCGCACACGTAGTTTCTAGCATGTTTCCTTGTAATTACATAGTTTATCTAATTCGGACGCTCGTGCCGGCTGAATCACGCAGTTTGGGAATTTGTAGTCGCGTGTACAAAAGTGTAAATATTGTGAATCGATTGGAAACAATCGAAATTGTATCGCGTGATTCACGGTGTGGCGGCGTCCAGTAGCCTATTATTTCGTCGACAGCGCGTCGATCATCTCAGGAATTTTATTTCCAAATACTATAACAAACGAATCCATTAATTCTAGACCTTAGACAGTTTGTTTTTCCTCGATTTTTCTTGGTGGAATTGTCTCCACAATCAAATAATTTCCAATTATTTCATCTACACAGAAAACATAAACTCATCGTACGTTTATCAGCCTCTCACGTGTTATAAATAAAAAGAATGTTATTGTAAATTATACTTATATAGAAAAGACACTGCCAAAAAGTAACATAATTAAGCGACTAGACGTTTAAGGAATTAGTTATTGTGATAAACTTGTGTACAGTCGACTTTTTCTATAAAAAAAAAAAACTAAAGAGTTTCGGCTCGATTTTGCGACGAAGCGCAGCTGGTGTGAGAAAAATGATAAAGTTCTTTATGATTACAATTATAAAAAGCTGATTTAGTGTATATTGTAGATCTAGATATTGACATATTATCAAAGAGAAGAAACCAATTTAAAAGTGTTTGGCGTCCTGTTTGCTTATCTCTAATAAGGCATCGTAGAATGGTTGAGGTTCGGGGAAACGTTCAACCCAGGATACAATCAAGCCTTCGGGACTTGCCTCGTAGTTTTTCTGAATAAATTTGTCGCCTTCCGACACGATATTGGGCTGGGCGAAAATTTTTCGTGGTTTTTTGTTGGCCAAGACAATTTCTCGCCAGGATTTCCACGGTTCGATTACGTCTGTGTAATGGCTGAATAGCTGCTTGGCTTTTTCAATATCTGCGGTTGATTTGCACACCTGCAGTTCGACCAAGAACCTTGCGATTGCTTCACGTCCGGCGTGATACAGTTTGCTTCTATCTAAAGTTATCAATAGGTCTTTATCGGTTGGTTGGGTGACTGTTACAACGCCAGCTTCAAGCAGAACGCGCATTATACCAAAACGTGCTTGGGAATGCGCTTGTAACCATCCGCGTTTCGGGTCCCACATTTCCAAGGAAGACAAACCAGCCCAAACTAAATTGAGCCAATTGACGTAGATGATGTCTTCGGCTTCGGGGCCTTCATGCCCGAAGATTTTTACGATTGACGGTACTAAACTTAAATACAAACCGACTGCCTCAGCGCGACATTCTTCAAATGGTGATCCGAGAGGACCAAAAATAGAATCGTACGTATCTCCTTCCTCGTAGAACTTCGTTATTGGTTTGCCATCCAGTGGATTGATGATATCCGAGTCGAAATTACAACTGCCGTCTTTTTCCTTGATCAGCAACTTGCCGGAACCATGCCCGAGGAGTTCATGCAGTCCGACTTGTACCTCAAACGACACGATGCGATGTTTCTTCATTAATTCCATGTCAGTTTCGCTTAAAAATGGAATTTGTGTCTGTTGATAACTTGCAGGGATGACATTACCAAGCGAAACGTTTTTGAATCCTATGGATTGACGAATTTCATCGTCTAAACATAAAAATATTAAATTTTCACTGAATTAATGTGTTGATGGAATCTTACAGTTTGGAATGTTGATTCCAGCTGGAATTCCGCTACCAGCGAATGTCAATACGTCTAGAGAAGTGAAATCAGGTCGGAGGAACTTATCCTTCTCTAAACTTTTACCCCATGGCAACATTGGCAGGAATTTCTCGGCGTTGTTCACTAAATTGGTGAATTTCTCCGACATTTCACGGTTTACCGCCGCTACGAAACCTTCGGATTCACCACGGACACCAGCAGGATCCCTATAGGTCTCAATAAATCCTAAAATATTTATTTTAAAAACTTTTGCATGAATTTTAAGCGTGAATTTTATACCAATGTAGTTTTCTACAGCTGGAGACTTATCCTGCACCCAAAATGTTGAAGCAGTTTTATGTTCTTCAAGTGATCCTTCTTTGAATGACTTAACATAAGATGCCAACATTTTTTCTGTGTTTCATTTGCAGCAAATGCAATAGCTTTATTCAGAGACTCCGCCATTTTACCCATCAACGGTGAATAATCTCCTTTTGTTACTTCATAGATGACATTATCAACTTCTTCAGTCTGAACAACACCAGTTGATTCACTTGCCAAACGAATCTCATACTTCACCTTACCATTTTCTTCAGTTTTGAATAACCTACTGATATAGCCCTCCATCTGTTTACTCTTCATCCACTTTTGCACCTTTTCATTGTCTTCAGGTGAACAGTTCTTAGACAAATAAGTATTGCATCCATGAGGTGGATAACCAAGACAATGTCTGCCATTGGACAGATCATAGACAGTGGATTTTATGTTGTTCCAAATTGGTTCTAACTCAGACCAATTGGGAGCCAGGGCAAGGAGTGCACTAAGTTGGGGTTCATCAATGTTTGGAATGAATTTAGTATCACCAAATCCCTTGTAATTGCCTGCATTGGCAAAAACACCAGCAGTGTATACAAATAAAGCTGTTACATCTTTTTCTGCAATCCCAGCTTTAAGAGCCTTCTCCTTAAGTTGTTCTGGTGATATTTTGGAAAACAATTTATGCAGGAGAACAAATAGTTCAGGTGCTTCTGCACTTGTCTGAATAAATGTAATCAGACCACCTACCCAACAGGCTTTGGACATGTGATATGAATATGCCTGTTCAAGATGAGTGAGACCTTTGAAGGCAGCTGATGACTCCAAGTAGACCACAGGCTGGTCCAGTGGTAGAACATGTTGGGACTTGTCTATTTCTCCACTCATTCTGTAACAAGACGTATTGGATTAGAAATATGAATAAACCGGCGTATTTATTAAGGTAATTACTTGTTAAAATATACTTTTGTATAGTATGCAAAATAATAACTTGCTAAGTCACTCAAATAAAGAGGTTAGCTGAAAATCAAACGTTGGCAAGTGAATGAACATGTTGTTTAGGACAAGAGAGGGCAGTACATGTACTGTTAGAAATAAAATCCGTTGCAACGGTTGTAAACTATAAATTAGACAAAATTTACTAATAAATCCTTTCAGAGTAAATAATTAAGTATGCAACTTACTTGGTAAGTGTACGCCGTTGTTGATTATGTGAGTATAAATTGTAGCTACGTAGAATTGTTGCTTTTATATGATTGTTACTAAGAGAAATTCGTTGACCTTTAAGAAACACTTGCCGGCATGACAATAACGAACGACTTAACATGATAACGTAGGATTAAGTAGGTGGTTATCTAGGTTCTATGACTTAGAATTGTTTATATTATTTGTTCTACGATTAGAATAAAAAGAATTCACGCGGTGTGCTCACATAACCTCACCGGTTAAGAGATAGAACTTTAGATTATAGCCATTTTAAAAATCGACACCATTTTGTTTCAACTTTAATGCAACCAAAGGAAAGCCAAAATATGTTTTACACGTGATGGTCATCAATAGGTTCAATAGGAGGAATATCCAACCTTTTTGAGAGTTTCTCACAGGCTTTCATCACAGTCCCGATGTAACGAACACCTCCGCGTTTTTCAACGAACTTCATATGCTCCTCTTCAAACTCTCCGGGAACAAGCACTGGTCTCTTCTCATCAATCTAAAAATGTTATAATGGATTAATCAGGTTATTCTATATTTTATTATTCTATACGTACTGGTTTTGTTGCTTTAATAGAACAAAGAAACTCTTGCATTCTTTTTTTGAAGTCTGGAGCAAAGCATTCCGGGTCCAAAGCGACGAATGACTGGCCATAGTCACCGGGACGTTCTTCGCCTAGTTTTCTAATGCTTCCACTGAAGGTACTACCGCCTAAGAGACTACAAAATATCTCGACCATCATTGCCAGTCCAAAACCTTTGTGACCTGAGTTTATCTCTTCACCTCCAAGAGGCATTAGAAGTTGACTTTTTAATGCAACTGCGGGGTCTGTTACAGGTCCCCCATCGGAATCCAAGGCCCAGCCACGTGGTATTGGTTTACCTTTTTGTTGGTATATGTGGAGCTGCATAGAAAATGTAAAATCATCAATTAAATTAGGTATGTAGGTAATTTTGGTAACAGTAGAGACCTTTCCGAATGCCACAGCTGTTGTAGCCATGTCAAGCACAAAGGGATCGCCACTTGAAGGTGCTCCTACAGATAATGGGTTGGTCCCAAGGGCAGCCTATGTATTAAAATGAATTATTTTGTGTTTTTGATGTTTAGAAAGAGATTTTACTTCTTTGCCGCGTGTAGGAACAAGAAACGGTGGTGAATTGGTGAAACTCATCCCCAGGAGGCCACATTTCATCGCTTGGAGAGGATATATTGACGTAATACCATAATGGTTTGATGCTAATGGATAAAATATCTCATAGGACTTTTAGACATAGATTTTAGCTACAGGGTGTTTACCTTTGCATGCTACCCATCCAACGCCGACTTCTTGAGCTTTTTTAATGGCTAAACCCATGCAAAAGTTTGCGATGACTGCACCCAGGCCGTTGTTACCATCTACCCAAGCAGTTGCAGCAGATTCTTTGAGAATGCAAGGTTTTGCTTTCGTATCGCAATATCCATTTTCAATTTCCTCCAGATACATATCTACAAAAGCGTAGGTATTAATATTGAGTATTATCAAAATGTTGTTGTTACATATGCGGCCCAAGCCATGACTGTAGTGACCCCGGTAGTCTGCTGCGGTGATCATAGCTGCCATTGCTTCAGCGTGATCTGGTGGACAGCCTATTGCTTTCATGCAGTCTCTTATGAAACGATGTACATTTTTCAATGGGACTAATTTTGCTCCTGAATCGAATAATGCCTATAGTAAGACTTGGTATTTGGGGAATTGTAGACTGAGAAAAAAATGTATGAATACCCTTATCGTCTGATTTATGCTTTTCTGCACATGTTGGTTGGAGCTTGAAATTTGCGGCGCATGAGGAATGTATACGTGAAGCCAATTTGCATGCTAATACCAAAGGAATGACATTCTGAATTGCAGCCATGACTGCGCTAAGTCTACCACTAGTGATACTTTTGAAGCACTTGAAAAGTACTTGCTAAAGACGTAAACACGTGGTATCTGGTTTCTTCAAATGGTTAATGGTTGTTACATTGATGCATTTTATGTGATTTTACTGAAAATTTTGAGATTTTTCTTCGTATGAGACGCAGTTATGTCACGATATGACTTTGACTTTTGACTTTGATAGCTATCTGCGATGTTATATTTATACAGGGTGTTGGTTAAGAAATTCTCTATTTTCACGATTTTATTATCATTTTATTACAAAGTATTGATCACAGTTTATTTACACTTGCAAAAGTGGTTTGACATTTAACTCTTGAGCTAATTTTGCACATGTTTCCATTTGATCTTTGACATATCGAACACCTCCATGCTCATCAACGGCTTTCATATGCTCTCTTTCCGGATCGCCAGCAATTAAAACCGGACAATCCTCATCCACCTAAACAAAAGAGGTTTTGCCAACAGATTAATATCCCATATCTTGGTAGCATATCATCTTCTCACCCTTTCTGATTCTCTCATCATATCAATCAACTCCTGCATCCTTTCGGTGAATCCAGGTGCAAAGCACTCAGGGTCCACAGCGATGAAACATTGTCCCAAGTTGGCGACACCATCTTGAGTACCCCATCTTCTGATCTTTCTCCCAAAGTTAGCTCCGCCTAAGATACCCGAGAATATCTCCACAAGCATTGCTAACCCGTATCCTTTGAACCCGGAGTTGATCTCTTCGCCTCCAAGCGGCATCAAACGGCCGGTTTTCACCGCAACTGCAGGGTCTGTTTCCACTTGTCCCGTGGGACCCAGTGCCCATCCGGGTGGTAAAGTGTTGCCTTTACGTCGTTCCATTTCAAGCTACATAGGTAATATTAATTAGTAAAGTGGACCATAGTGGAATAAAGAAAAGGGAATGATTGACACCTTTCCAACTGCTACAGCTGTTGTGGCCATGTCAAGAACAAAGGGATCACCTTTTGAGGGTGTTGCTAATGACAGGGGATTAGTACCCAGTGAAGACTACACCAAAAAAAAAATAAAAATTAAATCATTTATTATTTCTAATAATTTCTAATTTTTAAAGGATTTACTTGGAGGCTGCGAGTGGGGGTAAGCAATGGTGAAGTATTGGTGAAACTCATCCCTAACAAACCACATTCAATTGCTTGAGTAGTGTACAATGAAGCAATTCCATAATGATTGGATTCTAAATAATAGAAGCATTAGTTCAGGAAAGGATCACTTTTAGGCTATGTCAAAATCTTACGTTTGCATGAAACCCAACCAACGCCGACATCTTGCGCTTTTTCAATGGCTATGTTCATACAGAACTTGGCAACAACCACGCCTAGACCGTTATTACCATCCACCCAGGCGGTTGCAGGGGATTCTTTTAGAATACAAGGTTTTGCTTTGGCGTCACAGACTTTTCTTTGAATATCTCTCACGTACATAGCTATAATCACAATACAAGTAATATTAGGAAAATTGTGGTGGTAATAGACAATAGATAATACAAAGACGATTCATTCCGTGACTATAATGGCCCCGGTAGTCTGCTTCGGAAAGGACGTCCGCCATTGCTTCAGCGTGTTCCTGTGGGCTACCCACTGCTACCATGCAATCTGTTATGAAGCGTCTTGCATTTTTCAATGGAATTATGTCTGTTCCTAAACATAAAATTTCAACTTTTGCACTTATGACTTTTATAACTTGAAAAATCTTTGGAATAAACATTAAAACGTGCTCTTAGATATAAAAACAGTATAACTTCCATATAATATGACTGGTTTTAACGACAATCGTCTTAAAATGACGAAATGTTAGCAATTTGGTTGGTTTTTATTAATTTTCTCTGTATAACGACGAAAAATATTTTTATTTCTAGCAATTATGAGCTAGAATATTTTTTCAAATGCATGACATCGATGGTATCATTTGAAATATTGTTGTATTTATGTGCGCCATTATGCATAAGCTACACATTATTTGTATTTTAATTAAATACCGGTGTCGGGATACTCCAATGCAGAGAAATGTCGTTCGCATGTTTTGCACTTGTAATTCACCACGGTAACAGGATGCACGTGTGAAGCCTCTTTGCACGTGAATGCAAATCGAATGCTATTCGGAATTACCGCCATGACTTTTGAACTTTTGCAACACTTGTAAGCTCACTGCTACTGTACACTTAATTATCTTATTATGCAAAACATCTTACATAACAAACATCAACACGTAATACCTATTGCCTCGAAATTACTAAAGTTACAATCACTATTAAATATAGTACTTCATTCAGTTGAGCTTTTATTTCTGCATTTTTTATGATATGATCTTGATTACTGGAAATTTTGCGTTTTTATGAAGCCATATAAAATGTCATATGACAAGTTATGACATATTCTAGATTTTATGAAGGGTTTAATTATGATTGTCACTATCACACATGAAAAACCACATTAAAGCGGTAAATAAAAAGTCAATCATTAAACGTTAAAAGTGTTATGCAGGAACTGGAACTAAAATAAAAACAAAGGAGAGCAGTGGAGATGAGGAAAGAACAATGAAAGTTTTGGACTGCTGGACGACTCAGGCATAACTGAGCGCTTGGCGTACTTTGCGCTCGCCTTTTATACCTGCGGACTACCCGCTAATAGAAGGGTAGGGGATAACAAGGAGTGGGGGAAGTCGAGACGAGCAGCGTGCGAGATGCGGGTAAGTCATCGCATATACGACACGCGAGCGTAGGGATTGGTGTGCTTTCCTCCCCCACCACTTTTTGGATAATCCGCAAGTATAAAAGGCAGCGAACACATAACACTAGTAGTCCTCTAGTCTTCTCCTTTTACGGGTGTTTAATTATCATAGAAAAAGAAACTATGTTTCAAGTATTTATTATCAACATTCAAGCAGTACTTCCCTTATTAATCAGAAATTATTATTTGTACATTTTGCGTATCACATACAAACCTTAATTTTATAATATAATATGTGGCTTATAAACTTTGCAATGGTTTGACATTTAACTCTTTAGCCAATTTCGCACACGTAGCCATTTGATCCTTGACATATCGAACACCTCCATGATCATCAACGGCTTTCATATGCGCACGTTCCGGATCGCCGGCTATTAAAACCGGAGAATCCGCATCCACCTAAACACAACACATCAAACCGATATTATAATTAAAATTTAATTATACTATCATTATGATCATGTAAACATAACATAATTAACATAACATTAATGACACTTTTAGAGGTTAGAAATGTGGATATGTGTCATAATCCTAATGCCTAGTAACAAATATAATCCCACCTGTTCCGATTGCCTCATCATATCAATCAACTCCTCCATCCTTCCTGTAAACCCAGGTGCAAAGCACTCGGGATTCACAGCGACGAAACAGTGTCCCAAGTTGGCGAGACTATCCTGACTGCCCCATTTCCTAATATTCCTCCCAAAGTTAGCTCCGCCTAAGACACCGCAGAATATCTCCACAAGCATTCCCAGCCCGTATCCTTTATACCCCGAGTTGCACTCTTCGCCTCCGAGCGGCATCAAACGGCCGGTTTTAAACGCAACTTCAGCGTCTGTTTCCACTTGTCCCGTGGGACCTAACGCCCAGCCGCGTGGTATAGGGTTGCCTTTACGTCGTTCCATTTCAATCTGCATAGGTAATTTAAATTAGCAAAGTGGACCATAGTAGAATAAAGAAAAGGGAATGATAGACACCTTTCCAACTGCTACTGCTGTTGTGGCCATGTCAAGCACAAAGGGGTCACCTTTTGAGGGTGCTGCTAATGAAATTGGGTTTGTACCAAGGGAAGCCTATATTAACAAAAATAATAAAATTAATTATTTAGTATTTTTGATGTTTTAAGAGGAGATTTACTTGTTTGCTACGTGTCGGAGTAAGAAATGGTGATGAATTGGTGAAACTCATTCCTAGGAGACCAGAAGCCATTGCTTGCATAGTGTACATTCCGGCGATACCATAATGGTTAGATCCTGGGTAGTAAAAGTATTTGGTTAGGAAAAGAATAACTTTTAGGTTATGTTTATTTTGTGTAGATTTTACCTTTGCATGCAACCCATCCAACGCCGGCTTCTTTAGCCTTTTTAATAGCTAAGGCCATACAAAAGTTGCCTACAACTGCACCTATACCATTATTACCATGGACCCAGGCAGTTGCTGGGGATTCTTTGAGTATACTAGGTTTTGCTTTGGGATCACAGTTTCCATATTGGATATCACTCACATACATATCTGTCAGAAATAAAAATAAATTAGAAAATTTTTTTTTTTAAATTGAAATTTACTGTAAATCTTATTAATGGATTCAATAAAATGAAAACATAACCAAAGTTAAGAAGTAAACTCAACAAAATTACGTCTTCTATAACTAAAAATGTGTTATTTCTTCAAAAATTGAGAAATAAGAGGAATTTTTTATAAGGTTATGTCATTTGACATATTGTTTTACAAATAACTTCAAAAAATGGCAAAAATATCACACAATTCCTAAAAAGTATAATTTTGATCATAATATCCTAAAATTTAATAAATTAAATTCTGTTTATAATTAATATCCAGCAATTTCTCGTAATTAAATTAAACGAAAAGTTATTGTGATCTTCCGAAATTTATCGCCATTAAACTTCTCTGGCGAGTCAATTAAACGAACTTTTAATCGTTTTGGGTCATTGTGCAAGCCGGCGCGCATTCAATACGAGATCAAGCGCTGGCCGGGCGCATTTAGTCGTGTAATTCGGTTAAAGTTTCAAGCGGGGCGCGATCGTGCGATCGTGCATCCACTCCCGGGTCGTCGTGGGCGCAATTTGATTACCGAGGCGATTCATCCCGTGGCTGTAGTGGCCCCGGTAGTCGGCTTCAGCGAGCAGCACTGCCAGTGCTTCAGCATGCTCACGTGGACTGCCCACCGCCATCATGCAATCCGTCATGAACCTCTTCGCATCTGCCAACGGGATTATATCCGTTCCTAAACAAAAATAATAAATATTTAAGTCATATAATTGCTATGGGTGTGAAATACCGGTTTTCAATTTCGGTATACCGGTATTTTTAAATATCAGATGAGGTAAAAGTAAATTTCGTTAATTTTAAGTAAAATGTAATTTGATGAATACCGGTATTTTTATTTTCAAATACCGGTATTTTTTTAAATTACCGGTAACATCGGTGTTATACCGGTATTTATAAAATTAATTATTTAATTCAATTATAAATATTAATATACCGATATTTTTATTCTAAGAACCCCGAATATTACGTCTTGACCCTCAAAATGCGATGTTTACCAAAATACCGGTATTGAAATCAAAATTCCCATCAAGCGACATTAAAAATCGTCCCCGTGGAGCGATTACGAGATAACCGTAACCGTGCGACACAGCGCGAGTCCTTTCGGTTGATTTATGCCGACTTTAACTTTATACAATTTTACAACGTTATTAAGACGTGCCCTCGAGTCACATTCGTAACGCTAGTCGTGGAACATGATGAAGAGCGCGCGCGTGAAGTTTGTCCCATCGCGTTCATCTTCATTTTATGTAACGATGGCGATATTGGACGCGTGCTGACTCTCTTTTCGCTTTATTGCGAATATTACGATAAATTGCGAATAATCTCTCAGTGCGTTAAAACTGTATAGCTCTACTTACAAGCCTCGAGAGATGAAATCGAACAATAAGTCAACAGGCAAACAGCAAACAAGCGTAAAATTTGTCATACTCGTAAATCTCAAATTAGGTTAATCAAATCTTCCATTTTGAACATTACCAGTAAACAATGTTGTTTACGCATTGAATTTGCTTTAATATTTTAATGTAGGCAACCCTTCGTACATATTTAACCTTTAATTAAACTATTATGACTCCTATGAAGTAGGTTATAACATTTTAAGGAGGTAGGCAACCCAATATACATTCTGTAAGAATTTGGCTTGCTTAAAACTTTAATTATGCGTTTAAATAATTTTTTTATTATTAAAGATAGATGATATTCTAATTCTAAATACCCTGTACATTGTCCTCTTTAAACGCATGCGCATAATGTAGGCCAAACTAATTAAAGTGCATGTACATAAAGTTTACGTATACTCTCGATACTCAAACAAACAGCACATAACTTTAGTCTTCAGAGACAACTCATCAAAGAGGAAGGAAGTGTTATTGTTATACAAACATTTGTTCCACTTGCATTGGTATAGGTTATGTATGTATGTGTGTGTATGTGTGGTTGTCTACAGTTGAAGATGAATGCAGAATGCGTGAATCATTCTTGCGCGGCTTTCAATTATAATTTCATATGCAATTTGGGATTTACGACGTCTTTAGAGTCGCATTGTCGTGGAACAATATGACCGTGCTAATTATGCTGGAAATTACATCCTTGTTAAGCCAATTTATGCCTGACTACTGCGTAATTATTTCTGCAGTTACGAAAGAATTCATAATGCATGTTTAATGTTGAGTTAAACAAAGTTTATGTAAGAATTGCTGATAAGTAAGTACATATGATAAGGTAATCTTTATGCTTAGGTCAATATTCTCATGAATGCGTAAGTTGAACAAGTTGGAAACATATATTTTACATTTATTTGTATATTTATATATGAAATATGTCAATCCCTACTAATATTATAAATGCGAATGTCCTGATGTTTGTTACACTTTCACGCAAAAACTACTTAAACGATCATCATCAAAATTTGTACACATATACTTAGTGATCCCCGAATGGTTATAGGCTACTTTTTATTTAATAAAAAAATTATTTTTTAAATAAAATAAAGAAATTGTTTAGCCAATAATACCTCTGCATCTGGCTATTTGACTACTTTAACGCCATCTAGCATCCCAGCAATGAAGCTCAAAGCTAAGTACTATAGTACCATCACACTGTATTATCACACTGTATTACCGACAGCTACGTCAACATCATATCCAATTGACTACACTATGGAGACTGAACACTATACTACCATAGACTATGCTTTCAGCCATTTTAAACATCCCGCCATTCTACTTCATTGTTATTTCTTCTGTGACTACAGACGCGTATGGTAGCAACTTCATTATTTTAGATATTCGCGAGCGAAGCCGCGGGTTAAAGCTAGTTAATAATAAATAAGTATAAAAAAATAAAATAGTAAAAACTATTATTTTATCATAACAACAAATAAATTTGTTAAATATAGAGATTTGTGTTTTTAAACTTGAATTTATAAAGTTTACTTTTATATTTCAAACTTGGTAGGTGTGATTCATTGTTTCTACGTGAATTCATGACAAATTCTAAGGAATTTATCAGAAACAATAATAAACTTGACTAATTTGCAACAAAACATTAATATTTGTCATTTGAAAACTTGAAAATCTTTTAAAAATACGAGTTAAAAAGTTTTTCTTTATTTTTTTATTAAATATGATAAAAAAGGAACATTTTGAAAGAAAAATCACGCAAATCGACCTGTTTTTAACAATGTTACGAACAATCGAAAAATAAAAAACAGAAAAAACGATAATTTTTTGAATTTTCATTATTAAAACTTCATAAATAAATATTTCAACATGAAATTGATTTAATTTCTGCATACCTGTATCAAGTAGTCCATATTTCGTCGCCAGATGTCGCTCGCCAGTCGCTTGCGGCCATTTAATCCCACTGCAACTAGCCAAACAAGCGGAATGTTTACGTCCACTCAATTTGCATGTGAATACACATCGAGTGATGCTTCGCATCGCGCCGGCCATAACTACGCGTCTTTTAACTGCAGTTAAAACATGTAAATCGCTTGCAAACTTTTACACACCGACTTTAAGCACACTTAATTATCTTGTTATGCAAAACATGTCACAGGATCAACATCCATGTATAATAAGATGTATAAAATCACTGGTTAAAGTCTCAATCACTGTTTTATACAAGTTTTACATCTATTTTAAGATCAAAACTAACAGAAGTTACACTAGTTAATAATTATCGACAAAATGCAAGTGTATCACTCAAGTTAAAAGTTGATTTTGGTTTGATTTAATTTAATTTGTGTTTTCGTTGTCGTTGAACTGCTACTGCTGATAATAAACTCGTAACGTCGTGCAGCGCAGTGTGTAGAGAAATAAGTTTGTTTCGCTCATGGGAAGGTCGACGAGCATGGTTGGATTTTATTTACATTCAGAGCTCGAAGGTGACGCTTTCGTGACGTAGGTAGGTACTAAATAAACAAACCAGTTTATTCAGTTCATTAAACACGTTTTTCATGAATTACTGCAATAAAATTGCATTTTTTTTTCGTTTAAACAAATATTTATTGATTAAAAATAGTTATCTTTATTGCCTAGGCTGTAAATTATTATTTTAATTATGAATTTTGAAGAAAACTTTCGTATAATGTTTGGAAAAAGACATTTTTCAAAAATTTTAGTTTTTGGGTAAAAAATTATATTTTAGTTTGTAATTTTTTACTGAAACACTTGGTATTCTTAGTTGCATTAATTTTGAGTGAAAAAAAGAAATTTTCATGAATAGAACGTAAATTTCAAAAAATAAAATTTAATCTAATTAAAATGCGATTGAGTAGCTCATAACTGGCTTCCCTCCTTACACATGCTTATGGAAGTGACGTCAGAGTTGAGTCATTCGCTCAAAAATATTTTCTACGCTTTGAATAAAAATATTTATTAATGCGTTTTTGTATTCAATGACATAATAAATATTTTAGTGATTGTTGCATCATGTCTATTATTATTCTATTGATAGTTGAGATGGTGCCAAGTTGCAAACTAGTACAACTAATACAAGTTGCGATGCGTCGTCGGCGGCGTCGTCGGTCGCCGGTCGTTGATCGCTGCACGCGTCCAACGTGAACGGTTTACCGCTCCCGCTCGCTCCCGTGTGTAGTCGCGGTCTACTCCTGCGCGATATTCGCGCCCCTCGCGAGCGCACGCTGCCCGCACAACCTGCAAATCAAGCAAAGCGGGCGTCGCGACGCCGCCGGCCCACACCGCGCCAATCGGTTCCTAAATCCAAACAAATCCAAAACCTCCACAAGCTTCAAAAGTACAATAATCATCAGAGTATTACAATGTGCATGTGTTGTGTGAATTATAAAGTGAACACGGGATAAGATAACATCTTGTTTAATAGGAGTAAAATTGTCATTAGTCAAAAACGTGGCATGTAAGTTATAACAATAATTTTAATATTTTAAACTGGTAAATATCAAGTATATTATTGTCGCACCGTTTGTGTAAATACTGAAGATTATTATAGTTAAATATTCAAGAGTTAAACAGTTGAATATCGCGTTTTGAGGACGTAAACACGAGCGAGTTTTCGCAGCATATTGTGAGGTTAGAGGGATATCGGCGTCGCGCAAGCGTCGATGAAATTGATTGGCGCGCGTGGCGGCGCGGCGTCGCGACGCAGTATATCCCAGCAACCGTACTTGTACCGCAGCTGGACGCAGTGCAACTTCACAATTTAGGTTTCACATACATTTTGAACGTTTTACATCATAAAATTTAATTATATACTTAAGGTACTAGTGTTTTATTGAATCATGACCGGCATGACCGGCGTTCTTGACCCAATAATACGAAATAATGTGTTGGATCATTCACTAGGAGTACAGGAATGTGTCATTCGTTATTTCAATGTTTCAAACAATAAATTATACCCCATACCGAATGACTATTACAATTATTCTTGACATGCTTTTCTAATTACAAATTGAATACAGTTTAGAGTTTTTATAATGATTTTATTGATGTTGTTATATTGAATAACAAAAAAATAGCCAAATATGTTTGTTTAATGTGTTTATAACTAAATATTTTTGGTTATTTCTTGTAATTTTATCTATTTTCTATGAAATTTTGTATTTTTGGAAGAATTTAAATGAATTTTAATTAAAAAATTCATAAAAACCCAGAAAAATATTGTTTTCTTTAATAAATTTCACTTTTTATACATAATCTACTGTATCTTTTGAAGGAATGATGCAAATTTGATATTTTCATTAATTTCTTGTAGATAAAAAATTTTGCTATCAGAATTGAATGCTAGAAATGAAAATATGTTTCGTCGTTACACAAAATTAATTATAAAGCAACCAAATTGTACTAATTTTGATTTTATAGAGAATTTGTCATTAAATTTAGATTTAAATTTAATTATATTTGAATTAGACGAAATAGACTCGGCTTTAATTGTGATTATTTGCTGACGCGATAAACGCTGATCAAAGCGAATAAAGAGCAAGCACATGCAGTACCCAAACTTGCTTTGTAAAATCGATCCGATGCGATGCGCCAAAGCATCGTCAGCCAGTCGAGTTGTTATGTCACAATTCGCAATTAACACAGGCGGTTGAAAAAACATTAAAACATTCAAAACAAATACAAAAATACAAAATTTATAAATAATAATTGATTTTTGTTATTTTTATTTATTATTTCATATGCAGCACATAAAAATAGTCAAAGGAAGCTTTCCAGTGAATATTCAAGGTTTGAAAAGCACAATTCACACACTTTCATGCATTCTTCAGCTGCTTTATGTGTGTATGTATATATTTGCGTTTTCAGCGCTTCGTCTGCGCGTATTATTTCCTCACGTAACTTAAAATTCCAATTCTGTGTGAAAACATAGTAGCATACACGTAGTAAACCTGGTGCGTGTTTTCGTTTCGTTACAGTTTCGAGTCGAACATGCGGTCGCCGGTCACAACGCGCGCGCCTGCAATCGAGTTCGGAGCAGCGCAGAATTGGGCTGCAAGCACGCCAACTTGAAGTTCATTTTTCTCATAAAATTGAAATCTGCAACTTATATTAAAGAGGACAGGAATTGGTGAGTTTAAATTTGAATTTATTTATGAATTATCACATTTTTACATTTTTCTTCTTGTTTTTGATAAAATCAATTACAATGATTTGTTTTAATAAAAGGTTAATAAATACATACTGACAGGTTAATAAAAAGGTTATTACATTAGTATGTTTAGAAATGTGATTAATATTAATTGTTTTTACCAAAAAAATCAAAAATCTTTGAAATATGAAGCAAAATCAACTTTTTTGTATTATTTTAGAATAAAAATTAGTAAATTTGTTAATTATTGTTGAAAAGGACATAAAAACTAATTATTTCAACTTTTTATTTTTAAGATTTAAGTTTTTGGCAAAATTAGAGAAATTTTTAAATTTTTGAACATTTTAAACTTTATCTTCGTAAAAATCATAATTATCACATTAATTTAAAAATACAAAAATAAATCACAGCACTCAAAGTTCACCGCTTCAAAAACATGAAAAATTTTAAATATTTCCTTTATCATAGCAATTATTTTGTTATTTCAAACATATAATTAACAACGCTGTATTTCAACTCCAAACTATTCCACAAATATTCTCTACCAATAGATATCAGTATTTCTATCAATGTCCTACGCACAATTACACCGTGTAACAGCATGATACCCACGCATTGTTGCGGCGTGTTACTGTCGCATGTCTTGTTTGCTCTCTGGTTGAACTGCTCCTGACCGCAGATTCAATGCAGCAAAACGCATCCCTGCGTCCACCTCGCATATTGTTGGTGTTTAGTTAGCGTTGACCATCATACGGTGAACGATCATCACAGTTTCGTACATGGTGCATACGCGTATGCATTGTTGGCTAAATATAATAGCCACACAAGCGAGCGCATACATTAGTTAATGTTATTATAATAGTTGCGATGCGTGGCTGGAGGCTTAAAATCAAAGCGTGACTTGACATCTCTTTGCGTCACGTTGTCACGGACGACATTGATCCCGAATGATTATGCTCGTATTTATTGCATAGTGCATTGGAATAAATTGTGCGGTTATTCTGTCAGCGGTTGTAATTGCCAATTGTTTGGTTTTGGTTTCCACCTGAATTCCACCTGAATTCTGTGTGATTCTGTATGGATTGCAAATACTATTATTGTTCGTAACTGAGCTAAATTAGTAATATGATGTGTTTATCTAATGAAATTGAAGTCATGAAATACAGAACACTATGAAAAATAACAAAATATTGGAAATTTACGCGGATTGGCATCTGTTTAATCTTTTGTAAGTTGGTTATAAACTCAATTACTCTTGTAAAAATGCCGGTAAATATTTCTTGAAGTCTAAATATGAATTCCGCGTCGCTCAGTTGTATTCACTTGTGTTATGTTTAAATGATTTTGTAGTAACTGCTTGTGCACCCCAACAAATTAGCTGAAAAATCGTGCTTAAGTTATAGAAATTTGCATTGCAATTTGTAGGTATGTTGGGATAATAATTACAACAATATTTCAAATGTTACCATCGATGTCATTAAGGCTTCACACGATACCGAGACTTTTCTCGTATCGTCTCGTTCTCGTCTCGGAAAAGCGAGACGATACCGAGTCTAGACGTGTTTCTACAATTTCTCGGCGATACCGAGACCACAGTCCAAGTCTCGTTTTTGGTCTCGTTATTGGTCTCGTTAATTTATTTTATGATGTTGTTATTAGAAAAATGAGAAAAGGTCTAATATATGAAATCTAATATATGACCATCTGTGAAATATTTCTTTTGTATATTCAAAAGGACAAGTCAATAACCGAATATCATGACCTTTTTGACTTTTTGAAAGTTTTATGAAAATTTTGTCTTTGTTTACACATCCGGAGATATATTTTTGTGTTTTTCTGTACTTCTTGAAGCAAAGATATTGTATACATCTGGGTAAGTTAGGAATTGTAGACGTGCGCCGCTAACTTTCAACACAAATCAACACGATTATTGAACCCTAGTATACATTAACGTTTAAAAATGTGGAACATTAAAAAATATATTTTCTATTAAAAGCGATGCAATTAGAAATTAATATTTTAAACTATATGTGTATTTTTGGACTTACTTTACAATAAAAGTAATTAGCAATTAAATGACTAAACTTTTGAACTGCAAAGATCTAAAACAGAGTTCTACTTAGGGCTTCACACGATACCGAGATTTTTCTCGTATCGTCTCGGTCTCGGTATCGTCTCGGAAAAGCGATACGAGATACCTTTGATACCTTTGATAGTATCGTCCAGTCTCGTCTCGTGTGAAGCCCTAGATGTCATGTCTTTAAAAAAATATTCTAGCTCATAATCTGCTAGAAATAAAAATATTTTTCATCGTAACACAGAGGAAATCAATATAAATCAACTATGCAGATCACATTTTGTCGTTTTACTGACGGACACTGAAGATTTTTCGCAAATTTAAAAATTCCAAACTAAAATGAAATTTTTACTCTTTTAACATAACAATTCTTGAAATAATATGATATTCATGTAAATTACAAAGCTAGTTTTTTGTTATGTTATTTGAGCAGTGTATAATTACGAAATTAAAATTGCAAATTTAATTATCTTCTGTTTTCGAAGCGTGCGGTTTCCGTACGTAGTCTAGATTAGACCTAAATAAATAAAAATTAGGCGGAATTTGTTTTGTGCGCATAGCACACGTGCAGCGCATGGAAAATTAAGGGAGTTCCCAAGAAGAAAGCCGACGCTAACGTGTATGAGTAATAAAAAAATCATAAGTGATTTAAGTGTAATACACGTAATACACGTGGATATTACTATGTTGTGTGATGTTCTGAGGTGAGCGCAAAGCGTAATAGAAAATTGAAAAAGTGAAGAAAAGTGAAACAAAGTTTACACAAGAAAAGCAATTATTACAGGCATAAAAGCCTAGACTCTAAAATTATATAAATATTTCTCAATATTTGAAAAAAAAAACTATTGGAATTTCTTAAAATAAATAAGTAACGGAAATTGAAGGTTAGGATTGTGTGATATTAGGTTATTTAAGGTTATGTTATGTGAGGTAAAATTACTCTAAGCACATTTAAGGTTATGTTAAATTAAGTTAGGTTGCTTTTATTTAAGTCAAGTTAATTCATTAAATTTTGACATTTTTAAGCACAAAAAAATTCTACTCATCAAAAGCAATGTTTTTTTTTAATACTTCATTAAATTCTCATTATGCATGTCTGCTTTAAATTTAAACTTGTGATTCACATAATTATACAATTTTGTAAATGATTACATATACCACTCAAAATGCTTTACACTTGTCTTTACACTTCCTTTATGCTCACACTTTTCGTAATTAAAAATTTTCTTCACAAATGTGCGCCAAGTGCGTTGACACAGTTTATCGAAATAATTATGCTGAATATGCAATTCGAGTCGTTTAATTGCGACCTTAATTACAACAATTGTTGTCGGCGTGTAGGCTGCATCATCTTTAAACTCATAAACGGCGCGCACTCGTCGAGATTACAACGTGCACCGTCGCTAATTGTTGTTATTGTCATTCCATAGACTCATAGAGACATCAAAAGCGTCGTTAGGTGTTCGACCATAAAAGCTGCGACGAGAAATATACATTTCTTTGAAATTTTATTCAAATTCAGCGTGAAATCTGTAACCTGTAATCTGAAATCACATTTAACCTCAAAAATAGATATACAATTTAACTATCCCATCTTATAGAGAGTTGTCCGTAGTTTAAGACACTGCGATTCGTTTCTTTCTATCTGTTTTAGGTAACAAGATATTCGCAATTGCAAAAAATTGTCAAAATTTGAAAAATTTCAATTTTTAGCACTTTTAATCACGTTTTTTCGCCCTTTTACGCTACGATATTTAATCATTTTATATTCTAAGCTAATAGAAAATTTTCTAATCTTTCATAATCAGCAATTTGTTGGTTGCTATCTCTTTTAGTTTAAGAGATATTAATTATCGAAAATCGGCAATTTTTTCTTAAGAATTAAAATTTTCTCTCTCATATTTCAATTTTAACTAGCATGTCTTATAGAGAATAATCCATAGATTAAGACGCTGCGATCAGATCTTAATTATCTCTTTTAGTTTACGAGATATTCGCGATTGAATAGAATGGGCAAAACTTGAAAAATGTCACTTTTTAATACATTTAGTGGCGTTTTTTAACCTTTTACTGATGGAAATACATTTAATTTATATTATTATCTGATAGAGAATTTTTCAAATCTTTCTTAATCAGCAATTTGTTGGTTGCTGTCTCTTTTAGTTTAAAAGATATTAATTTTTGAAAATCGTCGATAAAAATGATCAAGCACCCCCCCTTGGCAATATTTTCTTAATAATTAAAATTTCATCTCTCAGATTTCCGTATTAAATATCCTATCTTATAGAGAATAGTCCGTAGATTAAGATGCTGCAATCAGATCCTAATTATCTCTTTTAGTTTACGAAATATTCGCGATTGAAGAAAATTGGCAAAAATTGAAAAATGTCACTTTTTAGTACTTTTAGTGGCGTTTTTTAATCTTTTACTCTTTTAAATATAATTATTTTATATTTTTATCTGATAGATATTTTTCAAATCTTTCTTAATCAGCAATTTGTTGGTTGCTATCTCATTTAGTTTAAGAGATATTAATTATCGAAAATCGTCGATAAAAATTATCAAGCACCTCCCCTTGGCAATTTTTTCTTAAGAATTAAAATTTCATATCTCAGATTTTCGTTTTAACTATCCTATTTTATAGAGATGCTGCGATCAGATCATAATTATCTCTTTTAGTTTACCCGAAACTTTGTATATTTGTGTTCTCTTATTCTCTCGCATGATAAACTATATAAACGAATACGTTTGTCTCTTTTTAATATCATTTCATTAATTTTGAAATCACAACGATTATAAAGATGCTTTCACTTCAATAAGCATTGCTTTGTAATTTTACATCCATTCAGCGTGAAATCCGTGCAAAATCACACTTAACCTCAAAAATATTACGACCGCGAGTAGTTTCGGTTATGTAACTGCCGGATTTGCGCGTTTGATTGAACGCTGCATTTGCATTGTTCGCGCGGCGGAATTTTATGTCTTCGCACGCGCGATTTTACACCCTGCCAGTATGCAGATTCACGGGACGCCGCGTTTCCAGGGACGCGCTCGCTTCTTATCTCAACCGGCGCTCGTGTGCAAATGGCATTGTCGAAATGCGCAACGCCGCAATCGCGCACAGCTCAGCGTTCACGACCGTATAATTCATTCTGTTTTCCTCGCATTCATTTTGCTTGCTGTATAATGGCCCGGCGCTTGCCAAGCCTCCGGTGTTCTTTTTTCTGGAGGCACTCGAGGTTTGAAGATGCATGAAGGCAGTCCTTAGTTGATTTTACGTCTTGCTAGGCAACCAAGCTTACACTCGAGTGAATCCTACATGCTGTATGTGAGGGAAATCTAGAAACTGATGAAAGAAAAATCATGGCATCTTTTGTTATTCTCGTATGTACAAGTACATCTAATGTGGGAATAAATTGTGGGAGATATCGAGATTTCAGAGAATAGCGAGTACATTGAGGTTAGGATTGGTGAAGCAATGCCAATGGATATAATACGCTAGAGGTGCATAAAAAGTTTTATGGCGTAAAGAGCAAAAAGGCACAGAAATTGGTATCACAAAGGAATCGCGAAGAAAGTCTAGTTGGAAATGGAAGCAAAAAAAGATTTTATTGCCTTTATGTACGAGTATGGAGAGGAGGAGAGGAAAAAAATCAAACAATGAATTTACGAGATCATTAAACTTTCCGAGCATACGATAAATTTAGGAGTACATTAAGTTGGGATATAGTTTTGCACACTTTGTGTTTACTTTCTTTGGAATGTGTTTTGTCGCGAGAGTAAAACAAAAGCCGCAATTTTATTTGCGTAAATTTTAATAAAAAGTAACTTAATTAATGTTTTCTTGACATATTATGTTGTGAATTCGTCAAAAAGATTTAAATTTTATTAGAAACTAGCTTTAACCCGCGGCTTCGCTTGCGAATATCTAAAATAATGAAGTTGCTTCCGTACGCGTCTGTAGTCACAGAAGAAGTAACAATGAAGTAGAATGGCGGGAAGTTTAAAATGGCTGAAAGTATAGTCTATGGAAGTATAGTGTACAGTCTCCATAGTGTAGTCAATTGGATTTGATGTTGACGTAGCTGTCGGTAATACAGTGTGATGGTACTATAGTACTTAGATTTGAGCTTCATTGCTGGAATGCTAGATGGCGTTATAGTAGTCAAATAGCCAGATGCAGAGGTATTATTGGCTAAACAATTTCTTTATTTTATTTAAAAAATATTTTTGTTTATTAAATAAAAAGTAGCCTATAACCATTCGGGGACCACTAAGAATATGTGTACAAATTTTCATGATGATCGGTTAAGTAGTTTTTGCGTGAAAGTGTTACAAACGTCAGGACTTTTGCATTTATAATATTAGTAGGGATAGGGATATATTCAGGAATACTAATAATATACTTTAGCGCCATCTGGGGTTAAATTATATAACTATAAGTATGATTTAATCTAATATAAATTTTCATCCCTTATTTTTCACCCTGTAAATAATTTTTTTTGTGTTAAAACATGGCCTAGTTACTTTTCCAAGGTCAAAACTATCTCTATACCAAAATTTAGCACAATTGGTTTAGTGGGTTTTGCGTGAAAGCGAAACAAACATACAAAACACATTCACATTGTCCCTATAAGCTGGGATGTACAATAAGCAACATTATTTGTAGAAATTTAATGTTTAATTGGTAAGAAAAAGTACATTTTCGATTAAAAATCCACTTGGAATTACATGTAACGTCACTCATAGATTGCATAAAATCCGTTAAATAAATTAATAATTTTACTGATTTTCATTAATTTACGAAATAATTTCAATAGATTCCTGTTTCCTACTCTTCTTCTATACTCCATATAGAAAATATCTATGCCATGCTATGTCTATGCCTGTATCAAGCTGTCCGCTTGCTACCTGCTCAGGTGTTGGATGGTCACGGCCCCGTCTCGCTTCCTTTCCCAGCCGCAACCAGTACCACACCGCACCTTGTGCACGTTGCGCATGGTTCAGTTGGCTTCGACATTTTAAGTTGTTTACACACGCTGCTGCCCGCGCCGCAAAAACTCCTACACATTGTCATAGCAACACCACAGTGCGTGGGTGTAGCAGTGTAACTACAGAGTGATCATACACACACACGCGCGCGGGATTTACCTATATGTGTGTATGTGTGGGTATTGGCTAGAAAACACGCGTGGATCGTGCCGTGTTTAATTTCGTACACCGCGTGTGTAATATAAGCATATTCAGTCAGCCTCTCTAGCATACAGTATACTTATGTATTACGCGCGTTCCCACTTCGGGACGATGCCGGTTCGCGGTTATTCGTGCTCGCGTGTGTGAGTAGCCAAGCAGTGTCTGCCCGAGAGTCGTGCGCGTCGCGTGCTGATTTACTTTATACTTAGGTTTATCAATCGCAATAAAACCACAACAGAATAAAATATATTCTGGTGATAACCATAAACATTGCGTCTATTATATGGAATATTTAAGACATTTGTGTGTATTTTTAACATTGTGTTACATTGCGCATGATTAAATGACTAAGTTGTGAACCTGGGTGCAGTATAATAAACAAAGGCTTGTGATTGTGTGAAGCCGTGGAACTAAACCAGACCAGACGCAGTGCAGCAGCCGAAGAAGTTGAGACGCAGCACATCAACTTCTTCGCTGCGGATATACCATTCTCAAGAAGCACGTTGTGGGGCCGAGCGTGAAAGGAAACCGGCGGACAGTGAACTTTTGCCAACAAGGTAGTTTACCTTTTTTTCACGTACCAATATATTACTTTTTCTTTATTTTGATTGGTTAAGAACGAAAAAGAAAAGAAATTGTCATTGTCATGCGCAGAGCACACTTTCATGTCGGTTTAAGTTATGTATTGGGTATTAACTGACATAACCTTGTGTAGAAAGTGTTTTATGCTCTAATTTATTTATTTTTAGAATTTTTGGCGTTTTAAGCGTTATTTTAGGCGATTTTTCATGTTTATGTGATAAAAACAGTTATTTTAAACAAGTTAAGTAAATTCTACTATATTTTCTCGATATTCTTTGAGAAAACGAGAAAATCTATACTTTAAGTCGACTTAACTTAAGTAATAACTGTCATAACCTTGTTCACACATTATTTTCTTCTCTAATGTATTTCTTCTCAACCTTTCTGCAATTTCAAGCGTTTTTCTTTTATTTATAACAAAGAAAACAAAAAATCCAAGTTTACTCAATTTTTTCTACTTAAAACAGTAATTTTAAACAAATTAACTAAATCTACTAAATTCCCATTACATTGTTGATTATACTCTGAGAAAATCATCGAACGGCGAGCACGTGGCGCAAAATAACGTTATAAACAAGCAAATGTTTACAATTTGCAACGTTTAAAGATGACCTTCGAGAGGTCCGCACTGGAGCCGTTTACACTTAACAATACACAATCACACATTCACAATTTCACAACACAGTGTCTATAAATGTAAACCTAGCCTAGTTCTCACTCAAGTTAAGTAATTCGAACCAATTAATATTGGATGCTTGTTATGACTCCAACCATACTGAATTGATTAAATGTTAATCTGTTTTTGTGTTTAATTTGAGATAACATTATGTAAATATTACTACGCCGTTGTTGTTGATAAAACTTTCATACAGGAAATTAATTCTGATAAGAATTAATATGATAGAAGTGTATTTACACACATATTCGAGTATAAAAGAGACTTTTGTTAGTTACAACATTTATAACTCAAGAACGGTTGAACATATTTTGATAATTTATAATTTATTTCACTTGTCTCCTTGTGGAATAGCAGAATAATTATTAAAATATCAAAAATTATTACTTAAAGTGTGTTAAATAGGAGATGAAAATGTGTCGAGATTAAATTACAGTTATAGTTGCTTCATTCACTCTGAGATGGCGCTGCAGTGCATTATTAGCATTTATCAATATTTTAATATATACCAGAAAATTTTATTGATGGATTTCACACACAAAAAAGTAAAAATCAATTAAACTTTAACAAAAACATCAAAAACTAATTTAATTTAAAACAAAAATTAAAATTTGAAGGTTGATGACACTTTATTATTGTAATTTCCGGCGAACGCACTGTATTAATACTCAGCATATTAACCAGCGTCGTTTTAATCTGTTAAATTACATCTGAGAGGTTGCGAGGGTGTGCGGGGGCGAAGGGGCCGTGATTAAATCGTATTAGATCGCATTAAATCTCATTAGGCGTATAGTACTCCCAGCCGGAACGTCCCGAAAATGCTCTTGTTGAGATTGCGCTTGTTTATAGTATTAAAACTATTTAATTAAATTCCGGCCGTGGACACATCGAGGTCTCCACCCCATCGGTTAAGAGTCTTGTTGTTGGCGTGGCGTGGCATGGCGTCACTGTCACATGTACTTACGCGTTGAATTAAATCCGGGATAGCAGCACAAGTTTTTGGATTGATGCGGACGCGATCGAGATCACTCGCTGCTTTCTATTTTTAAATGTTACAACATAGAATGGAGTAGAATCGAATAACAGAGAAGAGTGTTATTGAAAGTTCATCATGTAAACAAATTTTTTTAAACGAGTTTAGTTTTATTTTGTTTTATATAACGTTATTTTTGGTGTATTTGTTGATTTTGTTGGTAGAATATTAAATTTTAGATTAAAAATTTTGAATTCCCGCTTTTATGCTTAGAATTTTATATGTTTTCGAATATGTTATGTTGTTTGACATGTTCAGAATGTAGGCAACCAATCTAACAAGTCATTTTGAGATTAAAAACAAACTTTCATAAGGAAAATGACGATTTTTATTAAATTTTCCAGTTTATATTAAAATAATCGAAATATAAAATAAATAAAACCACATTTTTCATACTTTGACTTAACTTAAGTCAAGTTTTCAATAAAATTCCCTCTCGTACAATTCATATATTATTTTACTAGCTTTAACCCGCGGCTTCGCTTGCGAATATCTAAAATAATGAAGTTGTTTCCGTACGCGTCTGTAGTCACAGAAGAAGTAACAATAAAGTAGAATGGCGGGAAGTTTAAAATGGCTGAAAGTATAGTCTATGGACTATAGTGTACAGTCTCCATAGTGTAGTCAATTGGATTTGATGTTGACGTAGCTGTCGGTAATACAGTGTGATAATACAGTGTGATGGTACTATAGTAGTTAGGTTTGAGCTTCATTGCTGGAATGCTAGATGGCGTTAAAGTAGTCAAATAGCCTGATGCAGAGGTATTGACTAAACAATTTCTTTATTTTATTTAAAAAATAATTTTTTTATTAAATAAAAAGTAGCCTATGACCATTCGGGGACCACTAAGAATATGTGTACAAATTTTCATGATGATCGGTTAAGTAGTTATTGCGTGAAAGTGTAACAAACATCAGGACTTTCGCATTTATAATATTAGTAGGGATTAAGTTTCTAGTCCTCAACTTTTGTCAATTACTCACTTCATATAAACTCGCTGGACAATATGTTCGTATCGATAAGATAACTAAACTTTTGCTTCTCATTCAACTTCCGGCTTTGATACGCGATACACAGTATAATTCAACTATGTATATGTAACCAAGTGGAGGTAGTTAGGTGCTTTTGTGCGAACGCATCGGGCGTTGCTAATCTTTTATCTATTTTATCTGTGCAGCGTCGCGCTGCTGCGTTGCGGCAAATTGTTTTTTAATTAATCTCGTTGCCTCCGCGGCGCTGCCGGATGAGCTAGCGACGCCGGCGACGCGGAAATTGAATCATCTCGTGTTGATTATTTCGTCGTGCTATATATATAAAAACTACTTAACCAACGCGTTTATCACGCCAACAAGCCCGCGTCAACTTTTGTGCGCTGGATCGAGAGGGCAACTTTAATTGTTTTCAATTTATCAAGCTTAATAAGTATAAAAATATATAAAAATGATTATGAATTAAAATATCAATTTTTAAATACTGTTTTATTGTAATGTTGGTTGCCTACCTATAGAATAAAACTATATGTTAGGTTATTGTACGATTAATAGTGCGCATGCGAGTTGAATAAGGTACATCTGTCAATGTCAAAACATTTTCTTCATTTTTTAAACCGAAAAATCCCGTTTTTTACCTTAATTTCAATTTAAACCATTCTAAAAACTATATTTTGATAAAAATAATTATATACCCTCTTTAAAATGAAATAACAATTACATTTATTACCTAAATAATAATTTTATGTGAAGTACAGTTAGGTAAACACGCTGAGTTTATTGCATTCGTGACTTGATGCGATTACATCTGTTGCGTACCAGATTATCATTCACATTTTCATCATCTGACTGCCCACATATGAGTAGACACACACATGAAACATTTATTTCCTTTCACCTCTGCTCTCAGTCAGCTGTCGCAATACTCGCAGATATAAATAGTAACAGGAATATTTATGAATAAAGTAACAGCTTGCAGAACGCACTCGGTACCCACTCAACCAATTTAACAGTTATTTTTCTTTTTTCTATACGCGCGCGGGAAAAAAACGGCTCGGGAATTTTTCGTTGCACATTGTTGCTGCAGATTTGCATGTCCGCTGCATATTTATTCGCGTGCCGCAGGTGTTTCCTGTACTGTTTTTCAATGCAATGCAGTGGAGAGGAATACAGCAGTGCGTGCGATTTTATGAACTGCGTGATCTCGATGTGTATAAATGTGGTAAATATAACGGTTGATTTGGAGAAATTATAATTGGAGTAAAAACAGCCGTGACTCAATTAATGTTTTATAGAAGAATGAGTTATTTTTAAGTTTTTACGTAAAAATATAGAAAATTTCAAGTTTTTAGGTTTTTTACAATTGAATATCTCGCAAACTAAAAGAGATATTTAGGATCTGATCGCAGCGTCTTAATCTACGGACTATTCTCTATAAAATAGTATACTTAAAACGGAAATCTGAGAGATGAAATTTTAATTCATAAGAAAAAATTGCCAGGATTGCCAGATAAATTTTATCGAGGATTTTCAATAATTAATATCTCTTAAACTAAGAGAGATAGCAACCAACCAATTGTTGATTATGAAAGATTCGAAAATTCTCTATCATATAAAGATATAAAATAATTAAATTTCAAACAGAAAAAGGTCAAAAAATGTCACTGAAAGTACTAAAAAGTGACATTTTTCAATTTTTGCTCATTTTGTTCAATCGCGAATATCTCGTAAACTAAAAGAAATATTTAAGATCTGATCGCAGCGTTTTAATCTACGAACTATTTTCTATAAGATAGGATAGTTAAAACGGAAATCTGAGAGTTGAAATTTTATTTTTTAAGAAAAAAATTGCCAAGGATAACTTTTATCGAGGATTTTCAATAATTAATATCTCTTAAACTAAAATAGGTAACAGCCAACGAATTTCTGATTATGAATGATTGGAAAATTCTCTATAAGACTAGAATGTAAAATAATTAAATATCTATATATATATATATCTATATTAATTATAACATTTTTGAAACATTTATACATTTTTAGTATATTTTAAAGCGAAATCGCTGGCATGTTGGAATATTTTATTCCCATTGCCACAACTGTAACATTCGCATGCAAATTTCGGAGCTATTGACGTCGTAGTCGCCGTAGTGGGTGCGAGAAACGGTTGTTTCGCGCATATGTTGATCCCGCGCACACATTGCACCCATTTTCGCATACTTTCCGCATGCTCTCTTCGGCAAACCGAGCGTGACGCGCTTCATTCATTGCTTTCG